CCACCTTAGATGCACTGTGTAGCCCTTCTTTGTCACAAATGTCAAAACAATTCTCCGCCATCTCCTCCTTCTGGCTCAGGACTTGGAGGATATAAAGTTATGTACATATGATCAAGATTGAAAGTACTCTGCATAGTCAAAGTCTAGTCTCTCATGGATGAGACTGCAGGATGCAGCGCTAGGCTGATTGCTTGCTGAATGTACCATTGCATAATTGTTGAGGTTCAATCAACACAAGCACTATATTATACTTATAGCAGATTCACCTCAATCTTCTCACACATATATACGACATCAAACTATCCTTGATCAGTCTTGATGTCCTCATCTATGAAAAGCAGACTGTGAGTGAACTCATCTTCTTGAATCTTTATGCTTGATGTTTGTGACATTTTCTGGCCCATGTTATCTTATTCTAGCTTAGTAGTTATCTTTGTTAAAACCAAGATGAGGCTCTGAGATAGTTTGTTTTCCCTGAAAAGAAGCCTCTTAGCTGTTATTCTTTGTTAAAACCAAGATAAGGCTCTGAAATAGTTTGTTTTCCCTCAACCTAGGTATGTTTTCCTCACCTATGAAAAGAAGCCTCTTAGTTTTTATCTTTGTTAAACCAAGATAAGGCTCTGAAATAGTTTGTTTTCCCTCAACTTAGACCGTGTTCCAAGACTTTCATCTGTGCTTCCACTATATTTGGTCTAATATCTGAACCAAGTCACATATAAGATCATTTTGTTGGTGGGAAGTTGGAACTCGTTTTGACAAAAGGGAATCAGAGAATGGTGTCATCAAGGCAATTTTGTTTGAGGAGGGTAGACAAAATCAAATTATGAATGAAGTGTGACAGAAATCAATCTAGAAAGAGGCAAGTACCAATTGAGGGTTTTTTAACGGATGGTTAGATAGGGAAGAATGGGTACTGACACTGTTGGTTGATGTTGTGGTATCTCATTAAAACATTGTATCAAAATTTTGTACTTTCATCTCATTCTCAACAAAATTTTACTACAGTTCATTATCTGTATATCTTACAAATCTTTCTGTTCAACTGCCATTCCTCCCAATAAAAATTGCTTCAGATGAACTTGCAAAGATATAGAAAGATTAAGCTCACTCATGATCTGCTTTTACCCATATATAAATTATCTCCTTGAAATATTGGTATCGAAGTTTCTATTCTTGAGCTCCACAACAAAATTTGGTTTGGCAGGGGGGAGTGTAGTACAGAGTAGCCTCTAGCTACTGTATGTCAGAATCTTCTCAAGAAGATAAACTGACTGAATCATTGAGAAAACTTTGGCCAACAAGCAGAGACCCAGAAAAAATTTAGTGGAGAGGGGGAATATAATCATGACAATTCATTGACTGGTGTGATATTCTAATCACAGATCTGAATATGGACCCACTTGTTGTCATTCAAGCAAAGCTTTTACTAGCTTAGCAGGACAGTGGTACATACACAAACATAAAATTAAAGGCTGCATGACATGGGACCAATGGAAGCAAGAAATCCACAAAAGATTTGGAAATATTATTTGGAGAAGTTACATAGAAGATTTGTTTGTGGTAGACAGATTTGATGCAAATATGCATCTGGATTCCACAACATGGTCTTGAAAACAAAAGAAGAGAATTTCTGCCTTTGAACCAGATGCATCAGAAAACACAATGGTGAATAAGATTCTGAACAAAGTTGATGGCAATGTTAGAACTGCAATCAAAAGTCAACTTCCTACACCCTATACATAAGTGGGATATCTACTTGATGGTTTTCAAAGATATTTTTGAAAATACAACTATCATACCTAAGAAAAGGTACTTCAACAGACCAAGGAGAACTGTTGTTGAATATAAAACAAACTTTGAAGAAGATATGATACAAGGTACCTCTAGTACAAAAGTTCAACCAAGTACATCAGAGGGAACACCTTCTCAAGCATGCCCAAACTGCAGCAGTAAAGATCTGAAACATCAATGGACAGGACATAAAAAAATGATTGATATGATTGAAGTAGAACTTCACGAAAGTCATAATATGGATGTCAAGTATGATTTTCAAGGAGCACAATTTTCTGACAAGTCAATGTCAGAAAGTGAGAATGAAGATCATCAACAAGATGTCTGCATGATTCATACTCATGAAGATCAATGGCTACCAGCAGAAAAGATACCCTCAAGACAAAATTACAAGAATTCAGAGCACAAAGAAGAGCTCATAAAACTTCTGAAAAGAAGTAACAACCTCCTTTGAGGGTGGGGGATGTCAGCCCTGAGTCACGCTCACACCCAGTACTGTTTATGTGGCCCCGGGCGTGGCCTGGCATGGTGTGGCCCAGTTTGGCCTTGCATTTGAACAACAATTAGAATCACGAAGTGATCACTAAGATGCAGGACACGTACTAATGCTTAGATATAGATGTGCATAAGGATACTTTTCTCTTTCTTACATAATGATGGCCTGTTTGAGCTTGATGGTTCTCATATAACAGAACAGCTTGTGTTCCGCTTGTTGTTCTCTCTTTCTCCATTGAACTCAAACTATTTTGTTTTGCCCAATCTACCTCTTGTAAATTGGCTGTTCAATCCTAAATCTTCTTCCTTAAGACTAAGTTTGATCTGTTTCCTTACCAGGTGTTAGTTGTCATTGTTGTTATCCTTAAAGTTCTCTGTCTCTAAAGCAATTGACCTCAAACTATTTTATTTCACCCAATCTTCCTCTTGTAGATTGTGCTGTTCAATCAACCTAAAGTCCTCTTCCTTAAGACTAAGTTTGATCTGTTTCCTCACCAGAACGTAACCACACTCACCTGGTCATATTTACAACCTCAGATCCTCATTTCTAGCCGCTACTCCCTGCTTAAGACAATCTTGAGGGGGGCTTCAACTGAAGTTAATGCCATGTGAAGGCCATGAATGGATCGGGGTGAGGGCCACAGGTGGCCTAAGCCCTTGCCATGTGCCCCGCCAGGGCGCCTTGTGGCTTTGTGGCACCAGATGTGACCGTGAGCCCTGCGTACATATACATGTACCCAAAACTAATTGTAACATTGAAATATCATATATAATTAAACTTAATAATGTATACAAACAGTCTACAAACAGTATGTAACATCTTACAAAATACATAAAAACACTAATTACATATGCAGGTACACTTAAAATGATATGTGATATGTAATCAAACACCAACTACACCTCACTCAATGTCAAGAGTGGATATGCTTATAGTACATAACAAGTACATGATATTACTATATGTAATTATGTACAAACAATAATAGTTAATAATAGTTATTATTAATCCCTTAACCATTGTAGTGATAGAAACAAATACCACTACAATTAGGTTTAGAGTGGAGAGTATATAAACCCCTCCTCCCTCAGCCTTCAAGAGATATCCCCCAAGAAATTATTACACCATAATTTTGAAGAACAACATTAAATTTCTATTGAAGTAACATCAAGAGTTTTATAAATATAAGACTAGTGATAACTTCATAACTTTAATCAGCCTCCTGGCAAGAAGTAAGTGGTAATCTCTTTACACCCTTTCTGGATCCTCTACTTCTCCTAAGTAGACACACTATAAGTTGATGACTTTAAGAACAACCCCAGGCTGGCAACCTTAAAAAAACAGGTTGGTGACCTTAAGAACAACCCCAAGTTGTCAACTTTAAGAACAACCAGTCTAGTAATCTTTACCTCACTCTTCAATCTAAAGATTGAAGGGAAGCCTTGGATCAAGCTTGCATTTATTATAATTGAAATATCCTTTTAAGCAGTCAACTAACTGTAGCCTGTCTGGATTTGTCCAAGCAGACTGTCAGGTCCTTTTTACTTTCATTCTTTTTTTATTTCAGATTGTAAGTACTACATTATATTTGAAATAAAGAACTGGATTACATCACTCCATTACCTGTTCACCAAATTTAGTGAGCCTAGAGTACTACAAAAGAGTATCCTACCCTCACATAACCCATAACACACCTTCCCAATCATGCTACAACCCGTAATGTAGGGAAACATGGCTTTACATGCAGGGTAATTTGATAACTTAATGGCTTCTCTGAACAATCTGTGCAACTCTCTGTAGGTTGTTATAAATTCACAGCACAGCTGTGGATTCTCTTACTGAAAAAATTATTGCCTCAAACCCAAATTTCAGCTTTGGGAAACTTCTATCCTGACCTGAGAAGGCTAGAGGGAGATTCAAGAAACATGAATACACACTTTTGATGAGAATGTGTAAAGGTAGCTACAGTAAAAAAGAGCACAGCAGTTGATTGAGGGGAAGTGAGAGAATTTGAGGTGCTAAAAAATCTTTCTGCCAAGCTCATCCTGGAATCCTCCTGTGACCAGGCCAGGCCATCAATACATAAGCCAGACACCTGAGCTTGCCAGAATCAAGTGTCTGACTGTTGGACTTAGTCAAGTTTTACTGCTGTTGTTTGGGTCCCTTCTTTTGTAGAAATCATTACAGATATTTTGTTATATGCTGGACATCAAGAAAAAACAATCAAGTTTTTTACTGCCTTGAAGAAGATCAAACTTGAAAGGTTACCACTGAAAAATCAAAAACACAGTCTTTGCTATGTTGAGATCCATTTAAAAACTCATTTGAGCTACTTCATTCTTTCTCAATGTCCAACAGATAACAAAATGGTTGTTCGTATGTGTTGGTAATTCTAGGGCTATATGTCACACAACACAAAAGTTGAAGCCAAATGTGTTTCAATGAGATTTTATTGAGTGCGGAAAATGAGTAGAAGTGCGGGCGCGCATTAGTGCGAGTGTGCGAGTGATATGCACAAGACCATCTGGAGCTTGTGCTACCCCCGCTACCCCCGGTCCGCCCTCACCGCAGTCCTGCAGGCCTGATACACATGACTTGACGCGTCGTTGCCGTCGTCACCGCCACAAGATATAAATCATGCGAACCAAAGTCTACCCAATGCCGTTGGGTTCTTTCGACTTCTACGTTTGGACACCCGAGATAACTTGATTCAATGTCAGACCAGAGCGACCCTTCATATAAAGTGCGCCTTTACGCCTACGATCTCTCCAATGGCTTAGCCAAAACAATGTCAATGGCATGGACAGGGAAATATTTTGAAGCCATTTGGCACACGTCAATCGTTTTCGATGATCAGCTGGAAGTATTTTTTGGCCAAGGTATGGTTGAATAATTTTTATTCATAAAAGAGGGAAATTGGAACACTTACACTCGTCGAAAATTGCGCATTAGGTATCACGACCTGCCACCCTGGTACGAGCATTCACGGTCGACCAATCAAGATTATAGAATTAGGCAAAACTCAGGTTGACTTGGGTACGCTTTTGGAGTACATCGATGAGTTGCGTTCATCGTGGACGGCCGAAGCGTTAGTTTTTCAGCTCATGCTACGTATGAGTATTGTTGAGCTTGAACTTCATTAATCTGATGATAATCGTCTTGCGCCATTCGTAGCTATCATCTGCTCGAACGTAATTGCAATAACTTCTCAAACGAGTTGGCAGGATTCTTGACTGGTACGAGCATACCTCAGGAGATTCTCGAGTGAGCTGAACTGACCGTTTTCATAATGTATCTCCCTGCATCTATATCTCAATAGCTGACCTTCACATTTGATACATAGCCTACCGAAAGATTTTCTTTCCACACCATTTGGAGCTTCGATGCGCCCGATGATTGATCAGATGTTCAGAGGTGGAAACCATCCGCCGCCACCTACTTCGCATGCCCCCTCAAATAATCCAACCAACCTGCTCCAAGACGTTGCAGCTCTGTCCTTTAACGCCAGTGCTGGAGCTCCCGCTGTGAAGACTTGCACCACTCCTAAGGAGTTGAGTAAACTACTGCAAGAACATCTTTGTGTCGTTGTCAACTTCACCAACGAGCGTGGATGCCCACCTTGCAGGGTTATCGCTCCCATCTATGAAGCTCTTGCAAGCAAATTTAGTCCCGGCCCTCAAGTGAAGGAAAATGTTGGGCAGAAAAGGCTTCGAGCGGACCAGGTTAGAGATGTGGTCTTCGTTAAGGTTGATACCACAACTAGTGGGGAGTTAGCTGGTAAATACAGCATTCGCGCAACCCCTACAATTAAATTCTTTGCAAGCCGCAAGGAGGTATGTGTTTTCGAGTCGATTTTCAACAAGAAATGTATCAAGCTGACATCATTTTTCGGTTCAGATTGGCGAAGTCAAGGGAGCAGATGCACATGAACTTCGGATGCAAGTCAATCTGATGCTATACACTGCATATCCACGTTAGCGCCTTTTTCCATTGGATATTACCTCAATCTGGGATTCACGCGCTTATCAATCGTTACTTCATCAGCCCATATTCACACGAAGCTTCGCTTACCACGCCTCAAAGCCCTTTCAGACCAACCAATCCAGTACTCACAGGTTCCTGATTTAGAAAAAGCCTTGTCAAAGCTTATGGAAGCCGTCGAGAAGGATGCACCAACACTTACCGAATCAGCAAACATTTTCAAGACCACCGCAGTCCCGTTTTTGAAGGGTAATGCCAATCTCAGTGACCCCAGCGCTTTCACCAGATGGAATAAGGAATCAGTCAGTCTAATTATGGCTTTAAGTCCGGCTCAGAGCTTTCCTGTGATAGATTTCTTGCGATTGGCAGTCTTGCAGTCTGATTATGTCATCAAGCTCGCTGGCCTTGCGCGGGAGCTCGACCCCATCCATCGAGCTCTGGAATATGCCAACACTAAAGCAAAAGAACCCTTGGCTCGTCCATTTTCACTCACACTTCTCAGGCTCTTATCAAATGTGATTGGGTCAGAAGCTCTGGCTGGACGATATGTTCAAAACCCGACCAGACGTCTTGTCACTCAGTATGTAATCAACATGTTATTAAGTGAAGATGAAAGCGTGAGAGTGACTGCATGTAGTGTGTGTTATGGTTTGGTATGTGAATGGAGTGGGTCGCGATCTGAGTGGGTCAAAGCCGAGGGTGAAGAATGGGAGGCTGGTCTCCCCAGTAGCGATCATGCGGATGAGGAAGAGTGGGAGGTTGAACTCATGAGCGCATTGATAGAAGCTTTGAAGAGAGAACATCAATCAAGCTCTGAAGCAGATGTTGGTATGTTACTTTTGGCTGTACCTTGTGCTCCTCAACTCGATTAGTGCAACAGATACTGACCTCATCGATTCTTACAGCTCATCGATTGGTAGCCACGATTGGCCGCTTAGATTATCTTTCACCTTATCATCTATCATCTCTAAGAGTTTTGACCGAAACTTTAAACCTGACACAAATCCTTGATGAGAAGAAGAGGTTAGAAGCTCTGAAGGGCAAGAAGGAGCTTCTTGAGCTTTGTGACGAGGTGAAGAAGATGTGTACAGCTTCTTGACCATTGCTCTAGCATCTCATCTCATCTCTTTCTTGTCTGCCTTCGCTTTCAAAGGAAACGGTACTGGGTGCAATTAGAAACATGAACTGAACCCATCTCATCAGACTTAACTCGAGTTGGTGGATGGAACTCAGACTGATGATGTAAACAATAGCGGTCCCAAATGTATCTCATCAGATCGAAAGCACCAAAGTACGATGCAAAACATTCACTTGATTACCAATTTCATGACGTAATTGATCACTGAGCGGTCAGCCCAGATATGATGCATATACACACAATGAGCTCTCGTTAACTGATTCAAACTACTAGATTGATTTTCTCCCTCTTGTTGACCGTTTGAATGATAATTACCTTCTTTGACTTATTCTGGATAGTTTATATATATTTACTCAATACCATGTCTGGCATCAAGCCCACTGCATATATAAAAAATAAAGCGCGTGTGGTCATTGACAACGTTCAGCCGAATCGACAGCCTCTTTCGACGGATCACAACCGTGACGAGAATCAAGTTAACCGGATTGCGGTCACTGGAGATTCTACCACAGCTGATTCCTCAACCGATCGGAGTGCGACTCGACGTCTTAGACGAATTCAACCAGGTCTGGGTCTGCTTCGCGCGCCTTCCAAAGAAGACACTGCCAACACAAGATCATGCGATGGTCATGTAGTGCCAGTGATGTCCAATCCAGATTCGAGTTCTTCAACTCCGCTTGCCATTGCTAGTGTCCTTCATCCTTCAAGGGGCGTATCAGCGGTGTTACCTAATAGCTCGCGACCGACAATGCCTGTCAAAACACTTCATCTGAGGAAACCGCCTTGCGATGCACTTCTTCCAGATACTGGATCGGAATTGTCCAGTATGGATAACTTTTGGGCAAGGGCGCCAAAACCAGTCCTGCAGCCTCTTGTCGCGCTTCCTACTCAGACCTCCTCCGGTCACTTCAAAGAGCGGCTCGAGCATGGTCCCACTAGAGAACTATTCCGCTCGAGAAATTTTGCGGAAAGTATACAAAAGCCAACTGCGCCGGTACAGCATGGTACGATAGAAAGCACAAGACCGCAAGATATTGAACAACGTTTGGACTCATCGGTAGGTCGAGCGGCGGACGAGCCCTCACCGACTAATGATCCCGCGAGTGACGATAAATCGTATGATTCCGACAACTCATCCGACAAAACACCTAACGCGCGCCTTAGCTCACGACAAGCACCGCATTGGATGGATGAAAGTGAAATAGTGAGTGAAATAAAACTTCAGAATCTCTGAATTCCTCATGATAAATTTTTGGACCATGACAAAAGACAGAAAGCGGCCGGACCTACTCGAATGCGGCCATCCAAGATGAACAACCTGGCTGTACTTCTCCAACGGTTGACTCATCCAGTATACCCCCGTTTCAAGCCCCAATCAACCGAAAACCTGAAAGTCAAATGATGAGGAAGGATGATTCTTGCCTTCCATATTCACTTTCAGTCACACGGACGGTCCAGGGCGGTCTCAAACGGCAGGCCATGGAAAATCATTCGCAAGCCGTCGCAAAAGAACGTCGAACCAGGGTCTCAAGCAAGGTTGAACTGCTTCCCCCAAAACTACTGCGCGAGCGGACATCTTCGCCATACACCAAGCATATGCAACGCTCGATCATCTCTAGACCTAGTTCGGCCCATAGTTCTCGAGAAGATACGTCGTCGAGCAGAGGCCCTGATACCAAACATAAACTCGACATCTTGATAGGTGATACAACAAGGCTGAGGGATGAACTGGACCAGACGGTATGCAAATTTCCAAATGACATGCGTATATGCATTCAAAGTAATAAAAAAACTCGTCTCATATGACCGCTTTATTCCGACCAGGACAAAGAGAACCACCGTATCCGCGAGAAATGCTCCCAAAAGACACTCGAGTTGGAGAAATATAAGAGAGATGTCAAGAACATAGTCACCAACATAAAATCGAAGTGAGGTTTTATTCAGTCTGTTGGTTTACTCGGTCTACAAATGATTAAATCCGAGTTTGTTAGGCAAAATAAATTGTCTACCCAATATTCCGAAATCCAGTCCAATGTTACTGGGTTCATAGACTCCAGCCGTGAAAAATTGGCGAGTTCAAGAGAAGATATCGGATCTATCAGGAAAGAATGCAGCGATTTGATGAAAAGCAAGTCCTCTTCCACTTATCCTGAAGGGCCTGTTAACTCGTCATCTTATGTGTACTTTTAAGCTCTGTATTCCGAGTCTGAATCACCTAATGATGGTGAAATCGGGGAGAGGGGATATCTTGGTTTGCAGAGAATCCAAGACATGAACAAATACCTTTCTCTGACGAGGGAGCTGGATGAAGATCGAACGAAAAGTGAGTGCTACTGTTAACCAAAGAGTGTCAGTTTCTACGTAATCGAGTTTCTGCGAACTTATAGCTCTTCTACATCTTCAGAGCAAAACGTAATCGATATACTGAGAGCGAAGGTAGGTCGCATTCTAAATTTAGTCACTAGGTATCAAGCTGTCAAATTGATCAGAAGATTGTGTTTATATAAGCTTGAGATCCAGGTCGGGCAGGTCGTCGAATCGCGCAGTAGAATTTGTGAGTACCCACTTTTGATGACACTTTACGAAAATCCAGGGTTTTGTTGACCGAATTCCTTGTATCTCAGTTGAGTTGGAAGATTCCCTCATAACACATTCTCGTGCGAGTGAAGAGCTGCTTGATAAAGAAAGAAAAGATCGTGCTGGGATGAGTAAGTTCATCCTTTTCATCCAAGCGATGGTGTAGTGATGTCAGTCTGACTTCCGCGTACGTATTTAGAAGACCTTTTAGAGGAAAGGCTTGGAGAATTGAAGTCCCAGCTGAGCTTGAATCAATATTCAGTCGTCAGCTTCACATTTCCCATTGTCAAATCTACTAGGGTTGAAATTGATTCTCGCGTGGTTACAGGAGGAGCGCTCACAAGCTCGCTTCAAGATCGAGTCGCTTGAGCAGATCAATAGCTCTCAACATGCCACAAACTTGAGAAATGAAAAGGAGTTGCAAAAGCTGACTGATAGGTCAATCACACGTTTTTGGTCAGCGGAGGGGACAGGCGGCTAAACAGACTGTTTTTCTGCCTGACACAGTATTGATAAATCCCGAATTGCGCTGGCAGACCAGGCGCAAAAGTTTGTCACTTCCTCAACTTTCTGAATAACCGGGTAATCCTTCTGACGTCTCGATTCAACTTTGCCAACAGAAATTCGGAATACGTTGCCAACCTTGCTTTATCGCGGTAAGCCGAATCAGCTTTTCAAGAGGATAATTTGTATTCTCATCATGATAAGTGTTTGTAAGGATAGAACCAAGCTAGAACACGCCACAAAAAATCTTCACGATCAAGGGATCGAGCTACAAAATTCGAAAGAAAAGGTAGGAGAAATGAGCCGAACCGTATCTCAAAAAAAATCTGAAATCACAAAGGTTCAGGGAGAATACTCTGACTTGTTGGACAAAACGAAAGCAGTAGATCGAAGCCTGACTGAATCGAACGTTGAGAAAGCAAATCTTCAATGTCAAATTCATGAACTTCGTGAGAGCTTAAAATATCAGTCGAGCATAGAACAGGTTCAAGAAGTCCATCAGGTGCAGTACGGAAAGCTTCAAGAGAAGTGTGAGATGCTCCAATCAGATGTGGAACATTGGAGAAATCAGAACTCAGCAACTTTGGAGAGATTTGCGAAGCTATCAACCAGTAGTAATTTAGAACAGGCGCGACTCACCAAACTTCAAGAGAATCTGCAGCTTCAACAGATTGAAGCCTTGGAGAATGCAATGAATCTTTTATGTAAACAAGAAAACGGGCTCATCGTCGATCTAAGAAGCAAGATTTGTCGGAACGAACACGAGATGAGTAGACTAGGCGTCATCGAAAAAAGATACGTCGAACTCAAAGAGGCGAATGAGCGACTGCGAGAAACAACTGTGGCCAATGAGAACTCCAGAAGAGATCTTCAGTACCGATTGGACGATGCGCATCAAAAATGGGAAGATCATAAAGGTCGAGGTGACTTTGCAGCCGGTCAAGTTACGGTCCTGCAAGATAAAGTCTCAGAAGCAAAGGCGGTACAGGTCTCATTGGTGAGAAATTTAAATTATTCACAGGACCGATGACCAAGCTTGTTAACAAAATTCCCTTCTCAGAACCGCGAAATCAAAGACTTCAAAGAACAGATTAACAATTTGAAGCAGTACAATCAAGAGCTTATCTCAGTCGGGGAATCGCAGAGGTCTAAGGAAACGATAGATGATTTGAAACTTAAGCTAGTCAACGAAGGTGCTACACGGCAGCTACTTGAGGAAGCGATGGTAGGAATGACAAAGCGCTTTGAGCACTTTGAAGGTTGTGTTCTTGACATTAGTGATCGATCCAAGCATTCGCAAGCTGATCTCTCAATTCTGAGCGAAAAGGTCTCGAAATATCAAGAAGATTTATTTGAAATATGGGAAAGTAAATTAGAGGAATTAAGTTCCCTGAAGGTTCGGGAATCTGGGTGGCTGGTTGAAAAGGATAAGCTTGTTGAATCGCTTGCTGCGGAGAGAAAGAGACTTGATGAATTTCTGGAGGTCAAGATACAATTTCAAAAGGAACAGGAAAAGAGTCATCTTCTCCAGTTGAAAGTGCGTTTTTTTGGAATCCAGATGTATCAAAAAAAGCTCGTGCTACCTCATTTTCGAAGCAAGGTTTGTGATATCCAATCAGGTATCTGATCTCATGAACCGGTGTGATTCTACGTAGGCGAGTGCGGTTGAGGAACTTCTCAGGAAGGCGCAAGAAACTGACAAGGAAATCACACTTTTACAAGAGGAGTGTCACGCATTAAGAGTGTCCAAAGAGCAGCAAAAGAAAGACGCATCCGATCAACTACAATTAGCGACGGAGCAAGTGAATTCAGAAAAGCAAGATGCTGTGAGTCTTACCCTACGTAGCTCACTGACCTAATTTTTTCTAAAGTTTCTTTCAAAGGCCTCTTCTGCAAGGAAAATAGCGATAGCTGCTACCGAAAAGAAATATGAAATGGTGCGTATTGTTGAACTGGGTATTGATCGACTTGAAACACTTATTATACCTGTTTTATGGGATCAGAGCTTGATGAACTCAAGTCAGTGCCAATCCTGAATGGGAATCATATCTACGCATAGATCTGTAACGTAATTTTGTGCATCAGGCAACGATCTGAAGAAAACATCGAGGAAATTAGCAGACGCGGAAAGTCGCCTCCTGGCGATGTCAGCCGAGTTAGCTAAGGCGAAAGGTCAGTTCCTTCTTTACCAACCAAAAGTGCCTGATTTTCAATCTTTTTCCCAACATGGTTTGAATCAAAGGGAAGCCATCACTAGAGGAAACATTTTCGATATCCGATCAAAGTGAAAGTGTCATCTTGGAAACGATCTTGCGCCCAGAAGGTTCCAAAAGGTTTGCAATATCTGATTCTTGAGTTGTATCATATTATCACTAATTTTTTTTCATTCTTACGCACTGCTTGATTAATCCTTTGGATGAAGGTTGCGTGATGAAGAAGAAAATCCCGATGTCAGAGCTTTCATCGGTTCTTTCCAGTCTCGTGCCACGCTAATAATCTTATACTCTGAAAATTAGCCTAACCTCCACGTCGATCTCCAAACTGGAAACTCCAGTCACCGTGTCCAAATTAATGAATCCGTTGGTGAGCAAAATACGCGGGACTCTTCAGAAAACTGGTCTTATCGTGTTCAGTCAAGCTGAAGTATGACACAACCCGTTTTGAAGACGTAGTAAAACAAGTGATGCCTATCCGCACTTCTAAACGCCTTCGAAGCCTGAATCCGCGGGATAATTCGTTTAAAGATACGATCCCAGTCAATGAAGCTTCAAGAACGTCTTTAGATTGTAAGCAAGAGGAAGAAACGACAGCAAATGATTCACATCTACTCAAAGGACGTAAAAATGCTCCTAAAGCAACGAAAAAGAAGTGATCAAATGGCTCAAGTCCAAGTGTTTGTATCACTAGTCTGCTGATTTGAACCGTGTAATGTTGGTTGCAATGACAGATCTTAAAATGACAGATGAATATCTTTTGCAGAATTCAAAGAACTTGTTTGCTCGAAATTCGTTCTAACATAAGCCAAAAAGCTAGGAGTGACCTACTGACAGATTCCGGACTAGGCATTCCCATCTTCTGGGCAACTTTTGGCATAGAGCAAACGACTTCATGCTTCACGGAGTCTCTGTGCTCAAAGAGTGGGTGCCTCCCGGCGGCGGTATTTGCCTCCCTGTCTTGTTGTAGAAGCTAGGCACACCTGGGGTTGTCCTTGTTCAGTTTGGTGGTATAACCCACTCGAATTCAATGGTCTCCTGAAGGGCAGATAATTCTTGCGTATCTCCCTTGGACTCGACATTCATCAGGGCCCCATCTGAGAGCGCCTTCAATGCTGGCATAGCAGAAAGATAACAACTCCCTCTCACCTTAAATCCCAGTCCTGAGCCAAAAGAGATACTCAGAGAATGAGATTACTCAAACATATGCAATTTGTAACGAATACTGATCTCCACGCCCGCAGTCTTGTACTTTTGGAATTGTCTGGTCTTGCCATCTTCCTTGCATTTTTTAGATCATGAAATGCTCTATCCAGTTTTGGTTTGTTTCTATTTTGAAGGATCTTTGTCCAATTAATTTGCAAGTCCCTCATCATTCCTGATCTCTGTCTCTCGAAAATGTGTGTCTTCTTCTGTGAAGTGAGGCTTTGTTGACGTAGCGCCAAGTTCTGTGAACAGACAGAGACAAAAATTCAACTTTGAAATCATGTCTGTTTGGAATAAGTGATCACCTTCGCGGAGAGAACTGCGAGCTCTTTGCAAAATGATGCGGGATATGTAACATGTATGTGTAATATTCACTCAGTTGTATCATATATCTAGGTATGCTTATAAGGTATGCTTGGTAGCGTATGTCACCACGACGTTCATTGATCGATGTCATCGAACTCAGACTGACTACTTCAACACTTCATCAACCATTGCCATCAAGATACAAACACATCCAACATCCACTATGTCATCAGATCCAAGAATCTCAAAATCTGAAGCCTTCCAAATAAACCAGGCTGCCGTTACTCAGAATTTCAAGCCAAGGTTTGTTCCTTCGTACACTCCTGCTCTAACGTCCATGGCGAATTTCGATTAGGTCCTGGCTAACGAGGGAAGTGTCTGTCTGGTTGTAGGATTGACTATCGAACCGTCTCAGCTGTCAATGGGCCTTTGGTCGTTCTAGGTATACCCCCGCAATTTAAAGTCATTCCCTTCAGCACGCATGCTTCACTAATCTCATCTGGCTCCGTGATCCAATACAGACAACGTGCACTTTCCTTCTTATAATGAGATTGTCATGCTCACTCTTCCCGATGGAACTCAACGTGGTGGTCAAGTCTTAGAAGTAAACGGAAAGAAAGCAATTGTTCAGGTCTTTGAAGGAACCTCTGGCATCGACGTCAAAGCGACCCATGTTGAGTTCAGTGGATCGAGTATGAAGCTTCCGGTTAGCGAGGATATGCTGGGTAGGATTTTCAATGGATCTGGTCAACCCATCGATAAGGGGCCAAAGGTCTTTGCGGAAGATTACTTGGACATCAACGGTGTGTAACACGAGCGGCAAGATATGATCAGTCCATCTACTGATACATGAATTGTGCCAATCATTCTTTCAGGTTCACCAATCAACCCATACTCACGAATCTATCCAGAGGAAATGATTCAGACAGGTATCTCGACTATCGACGCCATGAACTCCATTGCAAGAGGTCAAAAGATTCCGATCTTCTCTGCGGCCGGGTTACCCCACAACGAAGTTTGTTCCTCCTTTTGCATCAGATAAATATCAACCTACATTTAACCGCTTGAATTTCTTCTGCTTATCACAGATCGCAGCTCAGATCTGTCGACAGGCAGGTCTTGTCAACAAAGGTGGCGTGAACCCTGGCCAAGGCAAGCCTACCAAATCAGTACACGATGATCACGAAGACAATTTCTCGATAGTCTTTGCTGCTATGGGTGTCAACATGGAAACTGCCCGGTTCTTCAGGCAAGACTTTGAAGAGAACGGATCTCTTGACCGGGTCACGTTGTTCCTTAACTTGGCTAATGATCCTACGTAGGTTCTTTCCATTCATTTCTCTCTTTCCGTAACCACTACCGCTAGCTTATAACTTATCTCCTTCATTCAGGATCGAGCGTATCATCACTCCTCGACTAGCTCTCACAACCGCTGAATATTTCGCCTATCAGCTTGAGAAACACGTTCTGGTCATCTTGACTGACATGTCATCATATGCCGATGCTTTACGAGAAGTTTCGGCTGCTCGTGAAGAAGTGCCAGGTCGAAGAGGGTACCCAGGTTACATGTACACAGATCTGTCCACTATCTATGAACGAGCAGGTCGAGTCGAGGGCCGAAATGGAAGTATCACACAAATCCCCATCTTGACTATGCCTAACGATGGTAAGACCATGAATCGATATCGCATATTGTCCAGAAACCGCTGGTTGATTGTGTTTTTGCTTCCATTCGTTCATTTACATCAACCAATCGCCACTAGATATTACACATCCCATTCCTGATCTCACAGGATACATTACCGAAGGACAAATCTTTGTCGACAGACAGCTGCACAACAAACAGATCTACCCACCCATCAACGTCCTACCTTCACTATCCCGATTAATGAAGTCAGCTGTTGGAGAGGGACTTACTCGAAAGGACCACTCGGATGTCTCGAATCAACTGGTAAGGCCAAGCATACCCGGTAATTCATTGGCATGCGCAATACTTACCTGATATCACCTCGATATAGTACGCCAAATACGCTATTGGAAAGGATGCAGCTTCCATGAAAGCTGTCGTAGGAGAAGAAGCTTTGTCATCGGAAGAGAAGGTATCTCACATCAACTACTCTACGTTGTTCAGCATATACTGACCTGTTGACAACTACTTAGCTTGCCCTTGAGTTCTTGGAAAAATGTCAGTTTCCCGTATTTCTTGACTTGCCCTGTTGAAGACCTTGCTGACCAGGATCACTTCACCTTTCACCAGTCGAAAGCACGTTTGTGAACCAAGGCCACAATGAAAACCGGACGATCTTCGACTCCTTGGATCTTGCCTGGTCTCTCTTGCGCATTTTCCCTAGAGAACAACTCAATCGTATCCCACAGAAGATTCTGGATGAATGTAAGTCTTATCGTTTATCTGTCATTATATCACGTGGGAGTTGATGGATTCATTTTGTGCGATTTGCTATAAATAGGGTATTCTCGTCGCCCCACAGCCCCGCAAGCTGAAGCTAAAAAGAACGACAAAAGTAAAACAAATGGGGAGGCGAATTTGATTGACTGAAAGTTATCTTACAATCGATTTCGTCTCTACTTTCGCGATGTAGCTGATATCGTCAGTCTTGATCAAAGCTACCTACTCTTGTTAGCTCACCATAGATCATGAAACTTTCTTTTTCCAGTTGGTTCACACTATCTTTGATTTCAATTCCTCATGTCTTTAGTATCTCAATCTATCACTTGCTCCCATGTGCCCTATCTCTATCATGGGTACATTTTTATGTCTTTTGCTGTTATTCTTTTTTCTACTTCTGCATATATATAATGTAATCCTTTTGATCTCTTTTGAGCGTATGACTAAGTAGATGGACTTCAAACTAAGAAAAAGACAGCTAAACACAGACTATATATATATTCTTTTGCTGAGAGACGATTATACTTGTCTGTTCTCTTTTCTATTTCACATTTTTCCGTATTGTCAGATTGATGAATTCGAACCCTCCATCTCTTTGAATAAAACAACCGTCAGATCTATGATGCAAATATATTATTCAGAATTCTTAAGCAAGTACAATCATTCGCAATTTGAACTGCCTAAGTTCCGTTGAATCTGTCTGAATGTTGTGCTGTACAGTGGGTGATCAAAAAGTTGAAAAAGTGATTGGCGCAATCATCAAACCTACAACAAACCCTGTTGACCATCACCATCAGCTGTACTCTTGCTATGAAGTCACTGACATATGATCTCAAAACGTGTATCATTTGGATGCATCTGGTTCAGGTAAAGGCTGTTAAGATTGCCAAGAACAAAGACTTCCAGCCAATATGGGATGGTCTATAATTTCATGGTGCAAGGGATATGGCTCAGTGGGAGAGAACAAATCAACATGATAATCCAAAATCTTCACCAATTGTAAGCATTGACATCTAATGAAAGATATGAAATTGCCACAAAGTTCAGCTACTTATCAGCTGTCAGCACTCAAGCTCCTTGTACTGACAAAGGAGCCATAAGTACTAGTACTACTACACTTAATTGTGATCTGGGATAGCTTTGAAAGAAAGCATTTTATCACTGACTTCCTAAAACTGAAAAGTAACTACTTTGGTGTAGAAAAAGTGCAAATGGTTTCCATAACACAACAATTCCAACATGCTCTCTTCAAAGAGGACAACTTTAATACTGGATGTCTTAGTCTAGTGAATTACTGCTCACATTTGTACCATAGAGATGATTTTTATAAAATGAACTAAGTTCCTGCAGAACTTATATGATCACATTGTATCATGCTTGATACCCCAATTAAGACTTACCAAGAAGAATGCTTGTAGGAAGATGCATCTCTGATGGATCCATCAAATCAGAACCAAAGGAATATGAATAAAGGAAAGTCACTCCACAAAATGAAGGGACTTGCCTTCTCATGCTTCAACCAATTATTTCATATTGTGATCTTTTCTGAAGTCCAGCTAGATTAACTACTAATTGAATCTCAGTTCCACTTTACACCTTTTTTTCCTAAGAATCATCAACTTGTCCTTCATAGTCCCTTGAACTAGAGTCCCCAACTATTCCATTCCAAGTATATTTGTTGTTCCATTGTTGTTATCAAATTTCCAGTCAAGTAGCTTGGATTATAATATGTCCCACAATGTAAATCAGCAAACCTTTTTATACACCTAACACTATGTAGATTTCTTTGGTAATTGCCCAGTTCTTGCAAAACAATGTTGGCAATATCCCTCATGTTAGTCTTTAGACGCAGGCTAATCTAGATCTTGTATCCCAGAGATTATAAACCAGGCCTAAATATTGACCACCTTGCATCTGTTGACTTACAGTGGGCCTTGGAATTGTGAAGAGCTTGTGGCTTTACCCACATTCATTGTTATCATCATCCTTACTTTAGGATAAGATACAACAGCAGATATCCCACATAACCAGTGAAATACCTTGTCAGAATCGAGAATCAAGTAATGACTCAACTGCTTGACTCTCTAAATAGTAGCCACACTGAGACCAGCTTACTGCCAAATAAATTATACTATCAGAAAGCCCACCATCCAATGTCACTTAAAGAACCCTGGATATAACTCTTGAGTTGACAAGGTCAAGCCATCTTGAAATTATCAGAATGTTCAAGACCTGCTAGATTTTGCAAAGCCCCATAAAAATTGGACTGTAGAAATGTTGGTGGCTGTGTTGCTTTAAGCACACAACCACAAGTAACATAATTTTGGGACAATGCCAAAGCAATGGGTTGGAAAATTGAACAGTGTGTTGGTCCTTGGGGTGGGGGAATATGACCTGTTACATTGTGGTTGTGGCACCATTGCCAGCAATGCAACCTTGCAATGGGGCCTGCCCCAAGAGCAGGTTGCCCCCTTCAGCCTCTACATTCAATTGCATCTAGATTTGATCAGAGAGCAACATATTTTGAGTTGCATGCAACACAAGAGGGTTCATCTGTACCTGTTATTTTGTGGGCTCATAGATTTAAATACAACTGGTTGTGTTGTATGACTGCAATGCAATGCAATGCAACCACCTAATGCTGAATCTAGATACCTGAGGATTGGCAATCTGGACTTATGAATTGACTTTCAACATTAAAGAAGTGTGCAGTAGTATGTATTAAAACAGACAGCTGAACAAGGTATCAGCATGACTTTTCAATTGCTTCTCACAACATAGGATGCCCAAGTGTGATGGTATGGGGTGCATTCTATGCCAAGACCAAGCTTGTTACAGTGATATGGACCCCCAAGGGATGATCTTTGAAACATGGGTGCATCAATCCAGCATGTGATCCATCATCTTGCACTTCTTCAGTCTTTTGGCAGAAGTACATGATCTCATCTTAACAGAGGAGAATGCACCAGCACTATGCTCAGATATTACAATTTTTACATTGTCAAGTTATGCGCAACTCAATCACTGTGTCTCAATCCAATTGGAACTATCTGGTCAATCATTTAACATACAGCCTCAGCTGTGATTACAAACATGACACTGAAAACCATGTCTATCATAATATCTGATGCATGTAAGGCTGTCCCTTCCAAGAAGCTCAAGAGTTTAGCATTGTCAATGCTTGGTGGTATCAAAGCTTTTATTGGATTCAAGGATAAACTTACACCCTTTCTGAATGAGCTCATGCCTTTCTTAAACCACAAGGTATGTCATTTTTCTCATATCTCTTAAAGAACAAGACTCTCACGTTCCTTCTCATATATTTACATCAGAAAATGTGATATACTGAAATCATATATAGTATTTCTGGCCAACCCTTTCCAAAAGTTTTTACCAAGATTTTTCTTCAAAAAATGGTAAGGAGATGGTAAGTCAGAGTTATATAGAAATGGAAACCTTCCATGATAACTACTCATGGTTGGACAATTCTGCATCATATTATAGGATGCCTGCAAACATCCAAAAAAAAGTTGTAACTGTGGTGGATTACTAGTCCCAGGACCGAATTGTTCACTTGGCTTCACTTGTAGGCTTCAATTTTAATTGGAGTAGGAGGGTGTGATGATGTGATAGACAGTGGTAAGTTGACAGAAGATGATTTCTCAAATCATATATCAACAAATCAAACCTTTTTTCAACTGCACTTGTTTTCTTTCTGTCTCTCCCTTCTCCATCTGATTTTTCCCTTATACAGATTAGGTGTCTCTATTGGGGACGGAACCAGTAGTGGTAACGGGGAAGGTAAAAGGCTGAGAAGACACATACTATTCTTTCTCAACAACCTCCAATGACTCTAAAGATGCATTTATGACCATTGGGGACATCACCCCGGCACCTAAGAGTGTGAGCCTCAGCACTGCCCATCTGGAGTAGGGAGATTCTGTGGAGTCTTAGCAGAAGCCCTTGAACCGCTACTGCATAGCTCCTACCAACCACCAAATGAGCAACCCATGTGTTTCTCTTTTTCTCTTCACAAAATATTATGGATATTCTTCATTCAATTTTCCTTTCTCTCACATTGTCCACCACCGGCATCTTCACATATGTCCTTCACACACTGATCTTGTGTAGAACCAGCTTGTTAGATCCCTCATTTACATACAGTGATTTTATGATTTTTTGGCCAGGGATTTCACTTGATATATGTTCATTTGAAGAAAGATTTCAACTTGGGAGCTATGCTTATCTAGTGTGAAATAAAAACATGGATCCATGCCCTACATAAAGTCTATAATCTCAACTTCTGTCTAGACTCTAGACACAAGCAAGGAACAAATCAAAAATGTAAAAGGAGGGAAGGAAATGTTGGAGCATGAATTATAATATCATACATTGGGTTTTATCTCAAGGGATTGGTTTAATGTATAATATAATTCTGCTGGCTTCATGACATCAATATGATGAGCTCCATACCACAGTACTGCAACAGTTGTTGTTTCAAATCTGTTGACATGTTTGTGGTATAAACTGTCATTAGCTAGGCAAAATTGCCTTCTCTTGAAGAGTCATGGAAAGCCCAGGGTACTACAGTCAATCTGGACACCAACTGCAGTAGTCTTTTATTTGTGTTGTTTGTTCATTAACATTCCTTTCACAAGTCCAGAATGAAATACACAAGAGATACCTAGAAATACTGCCCTTTTTGCTCATCAACATGAGCACCACACGCATACAAGAAGCCTTGTGAAGATTGAAGGGTAGTAATATACAGTTGTGTACATTTCCTTTGCGTGATAAATGCTCCTGAAATTATGCAAATTTAAAGCAACTGGTATTCAGAACTCTTGTATCTGATCTGTTGTGACATTGGTGTATAGAACTGTCAGACAGAGGGAGTTGTTTCCATTCGGATATCGAGATCCATTATCGATGAGAATACTGCCAGCCTGGTAGGTGCAAACAGCCACTCATTAGTTTTTTTGATTAACTTGGCAAGAGAAGAAAAGCCTTATGACCCACATGTCCAGGACAACCTTCCAGCACAGTATTTAAAGCAGTTCTTGCAACTCTACGTTCACTGAATATCAGCAAATTCCAAGTAATGCTCTTCAGTCATTGCACCTTGAGCTGTGCTTTTTTAGATTGAATGATACAGCAGTTGGACTTACGGATAGACTTTTCCGTAGTTGAAGGTTTCAAGCACAAGCTGGATTTCATAAGCGCAAAGGTTTTCAGTATGATTTTGGGGATTGAATTCAATGGTTGTGTAAAGAGTGCTGACCTGGCAGCCGGGGGTTTTCGAATACACCTTTATACCATGAGAAATTCTATCATCGACTTGCTTGAGGTTAATAAAGGCTCTGAACGGTCAAACTTCAGGTTCAGCATGATGGTCAAGGAGATGATGTAAAAAAGAGTGAGGGACTTGAGTGTGCCCAGACTGACTTGATGCACTGATCACGATTTATTGGAGTCGATTCTGGCACAGAGTTACAATGAAGCGCTTCACCATACCTCATCACCGAAGAGTAGATGAATACAAGCGCAAAGAATCTATGCACCGTGAGCATTTTTACTGCGTTTTAAGTTGAGCTAGTTGGGATAGTATTAGGATTGCAAAGACTGGGCCCTGAGTGAAAATATTGGTCAATGAAGCCTGAGGATTGCTGGAAGAGGGCATCTTATGCTGAGGACTTACTTTCTATGAAACTTGATGTGAGTGTTGTGTATGAGGGAGTTGCACTGGGCCAAAACCCACAAAAGACCCCAATATATAAGATACATTTAGGGTAGTGGGATTGTAGAGTGACTGAGCAAGTGGACAAATCATTCAGGGAAAATGTAATTGTTTGCTGAGCGATTTTGCAAATAAAAAGATTGGAATTATCTGATGAATTTCAGCTTCATCATTCAATTCATGGAAAAATCCCCAATGAAGAAATGACTGTTCATCTCGCACCGTACGTACGGAACAAACGGAAGGAAGGAAGAGGATAAATGTAGTTGCAATGTCACAAAGCTTGACAAGAATTCCAAGCCAAACCACTTGAATTTGGCGAGCAACCCTTGGTCAACCTTTTTGACATTGGCTGGATATGCTGCTGAAGTCCAAACTCTTGGTATCACTTCCGTACTGGGTTGCCTCGGTTTTCTCGAGTTGGAAGGAAAACACTCCGATCGTTTTGCGGTATTTGAATGTTATATGTGGCATGGTTTTAGCAGAGCACACATTCAAAAATGCATACTTGAGTGTTCTCGTTCTGCACTTCTTCGTTGAGCACTCTTCTATTGGTTACACACGTGGATCAGTAAGATTCCAGTGTAGAGTCCCAATTGGTCTACTACATATGACCTTTTAAAATAAGGGGTCATCCACTCCACCTCTTGAATACCAAGTTACAGTGCGACTGGTGATATCTTTCTTGACCAATTATGTTTTTCAATCTAAAGTGACACTTTTGGGCATTTTGACCGTTGGTTCTGGTCATCGCGTATTTTCACTATCAAGTCAGAACTTCTGGGCGATCTGGTCGTCAGCAAGTGGCTTGATCCTGTGAGTTCAAGATGACTTTCCTCGCAAGCTCGGGTGTACACCAAGCTTGCGAAGTCAAAAGCACTCTGGAGGAATCTGTGACTCTTGTTAAGTTGAGTGCTTCATGGTGATCTTAGGTGAAGTAGCAGACCAAGATGACCAAAACCAATTTCTCAACTCCCTCCCATCTAGGAAAGACAAAGTGAATTACCCTACACAGTCAAACTTGAACATGACGAAATATTCCCTTGTACCAATTTGTACACAGCCTTTTTATCTGTTTTTGGTCCAGTCATGTGACGAAACCTATGATGTCACCTAAAGATTCCAAGAGTTCGATCTCCTTGATTTGGATCAGATGACCATTGATTAGTAAAATCGATCAGGGTTCATTGGTTTCATTCTGCATGAGCTCAATAGCCATGAGATGATGCCACGCACATACTTCAGCAATGATCTCATTTGACCTTTCCTTTATTTTGCATCGTTTCGATTCCGATTTGTGCTCAAGAGTTCTTCAACCAGATCCAAAAGACTTCAGCAGTTCTGATTTTAAATCAAATATATGTTTTCAGGAATATGTATCACTGTCAGGGGCCAATTAAAGGATTGGCAACACTGAAAGATCAGATCAGCTGGTCAATGGTCAGATCTATCAATGGTTCAGGGAAGTTCAGGAACCATTCACTCGATCACTTGAACTTTGAGATTATCAACTTTGACTTAACTTCTTATATTCATCCTTCATCAGCATTCATCATCGATTCATAATTTCAGTTTCCAATCGATTCTTCTCGTTTATATCATCAAACTCAAACATGGTCTGCTTTCTTATTTCCTTTCGATCTCAACACTCATTCTTGCCTTATCACATTGACTAAGTTTATGTTTATGATACCCTTATTCAAAATATAAAGTATACCTCACAGGATCAAATACATCTCTATGCTCAAGAATCAGCCGATGACCTTCCTACAGCCTTGGATCCTAAGACTTGTTTACGTAGAGGGTTTTGTCCAGTACCGAATCCAACTCGTGATCCTCATCAAGCTTATGAAAGGAAAATTTATTTCGAACTTCATGGTTCCGAAAACCCTACACACAAAATGGTTTTTAGTTAGTTCACATCTTGTTCTGTTCGATTGAGAGTCTTGCAAACACTGATTCTTATCTTATCTTTTCTATAATTCCTTCACGTGTGATAGTCATGGGTTAGTAATTCACTTTGCTTTTGTTTTCATGTGGAGAAAGGGATCACACATAAACATAAAGCTTAATGACGGAAACGATTTCTTATTCCGATAATACCTGAACAGGTCTAAACAATACATGTTTCTCATGGTCAAGACAAGTGGAACATTTTTCAAAAAAACCAGGTCATGCGGTTTTAGTCTTTGATAATAGAGGAGTAGGATATAGTTCGTGAGTCATTTTTCTTAATTCTTACATAATATATACATGAAATTCTTAGAAATATGGTCTGGTCATACTTTAGTCCAGGTCGATTAGAATTGTATAAAACTTCAGAAATGGCCAAGGATATATTAGAATTATTGAATTATATTCATTGGACGCAAGATAGATCACTTCATATTATAGGAGTTTCGATGGGTGGAATGATTACTCAAGAACTCGTTAGTTTTCTTTCAAATTGTCTTTGAATTTATCAATGTTATCCATCAGCTCACAAAATATACCATCTTTCTTTTTCACGAAATAACCACACAGTGTTTTCTTATTCCGAACCGAGTTATCTCAGTCACTCTGACTTCAACCAAAGCTCGTGACATCCATTTACCTCCTGTACGTGTTTTCTAATCATTTTTCAATACAGATACTAATCACTAAAAACATGTTTTTCGTATTTCAAAGTTAAAAGTGATGCTCAAAATTGCTCTTATGAATCTCACAGGTGCAAACCAAGCCCAAAGAGTCTCAGGCCTAGTAAAAATCATGTTTCCAGACCATTACCTAGAAGCTCCAGCCAAAACGTCAGATGATCAATTTACAACCAATCAAATCTTAGAAGAAGCTAAGATGGGATATCATCATGATATAATGAGACCTCAAAGCTCTTCAGCAGAAGTCTGTCAAACAGCTGCTGCTCTATTTCATTCTTGTTCATCTGAATCTTTAAATAGATTAAGAAAAAGTTTAGGTAATGCTAAAGTGATGATCTTAACAGGTGATGAAGATCTTTTGATGAGTGTTTCAAAATCGGTTGAATTACATCAAGATTTGAAAGATTCTGAATTGATCGTTTGGAAAGGTGGGGGTCATGCTTTATGTGCTCAGATGGAACAGGAATACAATTCATTGATTGAAAGAGTTATGAAAGATGGTCATGATTCTATCTTTAATTCTACTCATTCTTGATCTAATTCAGTCATCTTTTTTTTTTCCACAACATGTATTATTTAGGAACTGCTTGTGGCTCTTTTATCCCATTTGTTATTGTTTGTATTGGAGTAACCCATAAACATGTAGCATCTTGTAAGGCTTGTAAATGCATCAAGTTCCTCTTCCTATTTTTACCAAGGGCATCTTTCTGTACATACGTAGTTTCTTTTTGTTACATTTAAGTCAAGTTTGATAAGTTGAGCTTCAGTTAAATTTCACTCATGATTTGTTCAATCCAGCCACTTTTTCGTGTTGTATTTCTATCCTATCTGCCCTTGTATAAAAAGATGCATTCCATTGTGGCATAGAAAACTGAATGCATACAAAGTGACATAATCATGACAGGTCACCTCACTGATTGAAGATTAATACTGACAGTATAACACTTTTCAAGGGAGTCAATATGAAAAGACAAGTTGATTCCATATCTGTGTGCGACCTTCTATTCTTGCAAGTTTTTACGTTCTTCGCACCTTGATAAAATAAAATCTTGAACAAAAAAGTTACACAATCGAATCATTTATCTTCATTCATTACTACTGGTTGTGGGTTGATCTTATTCTCAATTTGTAAGAATTCGGCAAATGCAACAGTTTGAGGATTGGTATACCAAAAGGCTGTGTAGATGAATGAAAACGATTAGAGAAGACTGCAATGATAAACAAATACTTCATGTCCAAGATAGAGATGACTAACGTTGTCCAGGATCATCCCCACCTGGATCTCCAAGGGCTGGTGCAGTCTGAGTAAACTGCTGTACATCGTTTATTTCTAGTGAAGAACCTTTAAGGTGTTCATCAATCCATTGTATTTCTTTATCGATCATTTGTTGTGCTGTCAATGGATCCATCGTTAATGGTTGATCTACGTATTTGGATAATGGAAGATGTGGATGAAATGCTCGAGTAATGGCTAGCCAATGTGGGTCAAAGTGTAATGTCACAGATGGGATTTCAGATGTATTTGCCATCGTCACTTCTGCCGAGTTGTCTAGATTTGTTTCGTCTAACGGAATGTCTAGAATCTGGAAAAAAGAATGGGAGAGACATAGTAGTTTATTGAGCGGATCCAAAAGGAAAGGATCAAAGCAAACAAACCTGTAGGAAGTCTTTTCGTGGCATGCACTTGTCCAATGCAAGAAAACGGGTCATCTTTACCAATTCTGCGTCGGTGTTAATGGGTTTTGCGTTGACGTTCGTGGAAACCGGGTTCGGTGATACGTTGGTCGGTGTTGTGAGCACAGTTGGTTCTTTTGGTGTCTCATTAGCAGTCTGAGATTCACTTCCGTGAACCATGATTTGGTCTACTTCGGCTTGAGAATTGTGAGCAGCGAGTGGTTGACCCGAGGGCAAGTTATTTGGTTCAGAGTCTTCATCATCACTATCGTCAATCGATATCTGATCAGGGTTCGAGACAGGGATCTGAGTTTTTGTTTCAAGAGCGCCATCTACTACCTCGGTATCACTATCATCTACATCAATCTCTAGCTCGTCCGGATTGGTGTGATGCTGCCTACCGCTATTGGGGGCTTGAGATAGCGAAGCCGGTTGCTGGCCATGTCGCACTAGAGCCGCAAACTTGACATGTAGATGAGCTGAAAACCAATAGCTGGGCTTAATTGTTTGAAGAATCTCCATTAACGGCGGAGATCCAAGGGTATTGGAAGCAATCTGACCACAAATTGGAAGATAAGCTGAAGATCCTGTGAGTAGATAGGTGAGCATACGACTCCTGACCTCATCACGAAAGAAAGGCTTCGCTCGAATCAGCTGAGCGGTGTTTCCATATTGCTCAATCCCGACTGGCCAATCATGTGACACGAAAATGTCACATGGGCTGATAGGCAGTCTTGAAAGACGAAATGAAGCATAATGTCGGATGTGGTAGATCGACCTCATAGTACTATTGTCGTACGGAAGGCGCTCATGATAGCCTATACAAGGATAATCAAGATAGTCAGTCGATATTTGGGGTTTGGAAGTCTGGCTATGGAGGCAAACCTGTCCGGTAATCATGTCGCTTGTAGATGCCACTTGCACCGCTGATTCGAATCTTATGAACCTTTCCATCTGGAAGTGTTTTCTTTAGAATCACCGATCCAGCCACGCCCAAGAAATAAATATTAGGAGCAGCCCATCCACCATGAAAGCTAAGCAGCGAAAGGCATTTGGTTAGCTGTTGATAACTACGCTTCTATTACAAGAGACGAGATCTTACAGTTCCCAGAGGTAACCTGAAGCTTCGTGATTACCGCCTACAAACACAGTTAAGATAGGTGCAACCTTTTTGTTTGACGCGACTTTCCCAACACAGATGTCAAATCAACATCGGTCAACATTTGCTTTGTGAATGCGATCAAAAAAGCATTTAAATATCCCTCCAAAAATCAAACCAGGCGCGCACCTTTTCACCTTTATAATATTTCCAAAAGTCTCCCATTTGTCGATATTTAACAGGAGCCGCAAAGGTGTTTAAGTCTGAACGATTTCGAAAAGCTTGAAAATCTCCACAACAGATTAAGACATCAGGTGGTTCTGAACCTGTTTCTTTGACTGCTTGATCAATAGTCGCGTAAATCTACAATTTGAAGAATAAGCCACGATCAGGTTACAGGAGAGAACTACAATATTGATTACATTGTCGAGCTCGCCATGGCAGCAGCCTTCAATAGCGACCTATAGGAGAAAAAGCGATACGGTGAGCATACGTTTCAATTCGTAATTTTCGTTTTGTTTCCTCTTGACTAACCTTCATCACAGATGCCTGGTGTGATACCATTCGAAGGCGTTTTTTGATATCTTTGAAAAATGTCGCCGTAGAATTGACAGACTTTACTGTTCTGAATGAAGTTGAAGCAATCGAATCTCAATAGCTTTTGAGCAGAATTGAAGCATTGGCTTTGCGGAGTCAATCTCACCCGATCGACACAATTGGCAAAGGTTATGGCTGTATGTATGCACACAACCTTAACTAGACTTAAGTACATAAGTGATGACATTCAGTGAACAGTCAGTTGAAAGGTCAGATATATATGAGCTCAATTGACTGAGCCTCAATGAGACCTTGGTTCAGCATTGTCTCTTTATTCCTACTCCACATGTTGAGTTGTATTATGACTTATCCTGATCAGAGCCAAAAGGAAGAACAGCTCTTCAAATCTATGTAGTGATTATATTTCTCTGAAAGTAAAGCAGACATGGCAATTTGTCACGGGAAGTCATAAAGCTCATCATCTTCAAGAAGTTTAATCAGGATTGGACTTTCTCGTCAAACATCCCGGCCGGCAAATAGCAAGGACATGCATACCAAGAGCCATTGGGTCTGGATTGTTATCTGGGCATGTATGGGTGCATTTACTAGAACATCATTTGATCATAAGAACACTTTAATCTATCGTTTACAAACATGGCAGACTTCACAAATGACCAACAATTGGTGAGATATACAGTGAAGAGATGCCTCTAAAATCGTTTTTTCTTTGTTTGATCCTAAAGTTTAGAATCACTTCTAGCATCATTACCTTTAGCCAATCCATCAGCTTCACAATCTGGTCCAGTTTGACCTGGTGCACCTGGAGCACCAGATTTTTTATCAGCTGCTTCATAACCGTGTTGATTTCTTTTAACGCCTAGTTCTAATAATTTATCGAAGGCCTTGGCAAAGTCTGCGAAGAAAAGATCTCTGTCATCGGCATATTTGTCAACCCATACGGCGAATGATGGATCAGCGAGTAATGCCCGATCGGTCTAGCATAGACATGATACATAACTTTAGCCAACTTGATTTTTCTCGTTTAGAAGTGAGAGTACAACTTACTGGAAGCATCATCAACTCATCACCAAAGTCTGAGTTGACGTACTGCTCAGGACCTGTCCATTCTTTCTTCTTCCACTCCAATTTCTTGAGTAACTTGAAGTATTGGTTGCTGAATCGGGTAGGCTAAAGGTTTTGAGGAGTAAACCAATGTTAGACTGACATCATTCCATTGAGCAAGTTTAACAGCAGAGCGATTAGCTCACGTTGTTGACCCAAGGTCCCTCATATCCGGAACGATCGGAGTGACATTTCTGTTATGAGAAAACAGACAACGTCAGAGTCATTGGGTAATGATAGAGTAAAGTTATCTTCGACGAACACCCAAGTTATGAGCACCAGATAAGGCAACGATCTCTTGATCGTTGAAGCCCATTCGATAAAATACGCTCCGAAGGTGATCATGAGCTTGAGATGCGTCGGGTAAACGGCCTCTTGGGGCACACTTGGTATCATCAACAAAGTCAGTTCTCCCTGATTTCCAAGGAACTTTAGGGCCACCCATGGCTTCTATTGCCACAACGCCTGGGTTCCAATAACACGCTCGATCAGTGCTAATATTTAAACTTGGGATAAAGTCATGTTGGTTTCTCACCTGCTAGCGTCCATAAGTCAGCATATGTGATCCAAGGGTGTTCCTCTTTGATAGGCTCGAGGAACACTCGGGCATGTTGAAGCCCAGCGTTAGCCGGATCTCCTCCCTCTGCCTCGTAGCGCATCCCAGCTCCATCCGATCCACCAGTGTCGGTTTCTTTATCTGAAGACGAAAGGTACATCGCTTCAGACTCGTGTGATCCAGTCTGAAGCATATTTCTGAGGTCTTCTTGAGTCTACTGACCATAAGTACCAGCAGCATGCCAAGCTAAACGAACCAGAATTGGCCCAGCTGTGTTCTTGGTACCTTCCTCATAGTTGTCGTAACCTGGTTGAGTGAGGATTTTTCGAATCGATTGACGAACAGCTTCGTAGTCAAATTTTTCAGAAGGCATAATGAGTATATGAAGCACAAGATGAGTTATAGATGGCTGTGATTGTTTTGTTTGTTAAATCCGAGATGAATGGACATAAGTTTGGGTGCGGGTGGCAAGATGATGAAAACTACGAAATTTTGATGGGTTTTCTAGAATTTACCAGGACCAATCAGATCATTCACATTCCAAATGCCCTCGGTCCCTCCAATAACCGCTGTACCGAGATTTACGTGACGTTGCAATGGCATCAAGTTTGAATGATGAGTGAGACATTTTTATTGTTGACTCAACAAACACACTTCGGCTAATCAGACTCTCGTTATCTTCAAGTTTCGAAACAATTCGGACATGAACACATTCATAATTGATTCCAGGGATATCATTGGATCTTTAACGGCATGACAAAAGGAACTGCAGAGGAGCCGAGCAAGTCAATTTCATGGCCGATCCACACGTTATATCGTACGGTCAGAGTGAGTAGGGACATGCCCTTGTGATAGTGAGAAGCTAGCAAGAGGTATAGCGTTGAGCAGGCATAGGCAAAGTCACTGCAACGTTGCATATGTCAAACACCTAGTCATGAATCTTTTATTTTTTGAATCGAACTAAAGGATTCCCAAAGGGTTCAATAATTGCGATTTCATTTGATTCAGATCACAATGGTATTCAAAGCTTGCCTAAAGGTCCACAGCAGGGGCCAGTAAATGTACTTGAAAGTGGCGTTGAAGCTATGTGTTTGTGGGGTTGCCAGCTATATATCCTCCACTTTCGAGATTCGAGAACAAACGGGCTCAGATGCGATTGGGAAGAACATCACATGGTCTGAAATTGCCTCCCTCGGCTTGCTTTCTCGGTTTAGAGAGAACATGCCGCTCGACATTCATCGGGGCGCTTAAGTGATTGATACGAAGAGGTGTCTGTAATCCGGTTTCCGCTGTCTGGGGGTCAACAAGATGATCTATGTATACAGGCGTGGCTGTGGCTTCACTCGCTCGTCACCGTCGTCAAATCACTGAAACTGATCCTTAGATTTGTTGTATGAGAATGTGGTGGTACAACTCACGGTGAAGAAATCAAATCACCATCGTCAAGTAAGGACCCTTGTCTTCCTAGATGCTCTTGAGTGTTTATTCGGAATTGCTCTTTTGCTCCTTCTCAATCCAATTGTGTATACCATCGAGCCCCTACTCTTTTCATCTTTGTCCATATATCGGTTTTTCTAGTCCTTTTCGCTATACACTTCAATTTCAACTGTTACAATAGTTTTTTCGCTTCTATCAAAACTTAAAATCAGCCTCTCTTTCTGATATTAGTTTTGGGTAATATAGCATGGATTCGATCTTCAAGAAACGACTACTGTGGGAAGCAGTTTTTTCGGTTTGGATCTTACTACTCACATGCGCCAAATGTAATGTTCTGGATGAAGGAAATACGAGACTAGAGCGTAGAGCCGGACTTGATTTCTTAGGTGGTCTATCTGGGGATGGTGGAGGTTCTGGCGCAGCTGGTGCACCTGATCCAACTGCAGGTTTGAAGGACCCGTGCGGTCAGATTCCATTAACAGTCGATAGCTGGAATAAGTTAGAGGTCGATAAATATATTGCGAATTATCCAGGTATTGACAATCTAACACTAGCAGTTGAGTTTATTTTTCTTGTAGAAATTATTCTCTTGACTTTGAAATGTATACAAAACGTCGACTGACCAAATTATATGATCTTTCTGATTCGTACAATCTTTTGCAATCATTTTATGGTTAACTCTACAGCAATTTGCAGCCAAGCTAGAGGCACCTAATTTCTTTTGTGGTATTGGTATGCAATGTTTAGCCGGTCAAGTTGAGTTGAAAATCTCTTCACTAATAGATTTTGGAAATGTCTAATACTGATGCGCACTTCACTTTCTGAATAACCTGTTCAGATATGTTCACCTGCTGTTGGAATCAATTGGTTAATCTTGTATGCCATTCAGGAGTGGAATAATTATATGAATTCCTTGTATTCTTCGATCGAGAATGCGATCACTGTAATGAGAGGTATCACCTTCTTGCCTTCTCTTCATCACCAGGTCCACGAGCCTTTCTGTAATGATAAAGACTGATCCGATGATATCTCTGTACTTCTCCCATCACGCAGAGGCTGCAGCTGGAATAGTAGCTGATTTGTAAGTTGATTTTTTCTAACTTTTCAGAATGTCGAATTGATCAACTTTGACGACTTTCAGTATGCCGGATCAGCATGTCGATAAGAGCATCTTCGGTTGGGGAATGGCTACAATCGTTCTGGGAGTGGTTGGAGTCTTCTCCGCCATCGCTGTACCAGTATTCATGCCTACCGAACTTACCCTCTATGCGATCGAGGGCTACAAGACAGCAGCTACAACAGCAGAAACAGCCGAATCTGTCAAAGCAGCATTAGCGGCAGCAGAAGCAGCAAAGAATGCGGGAGATGAAGCCACAGTGGTAGCTTTAAGAACTGCGCAAGACATTAAAGTCATCCGAACTGGATTTTTGGGTCTAAGAATCGCACAAAAACCACCTAAGCCAATCTTTCAATTCAATCCTCAGGTCAATGCAGCATTCCAAAGAACAGCAAGTTCATCTAGTCATGTCGCACCAACAGCTCGGATGCGAAGAAGGTCATTCGAAGCAACATCATTGGAGCCAAGATCATTGGCGAAACGCGACCTTCCACCTAGTGTGTTTTCTTACGTGCGTACTCTGCATCTTATTCTGGTTCATCTCTAGATGTCCAGCTTCCCTTAAGTCGATATGACGTAATGGGTAACCTGATACGCTGGTACTTATTGATGTCCACCGCCTCTTCGACCGCCGAATCTACTCTCCTAACCCAGTCACGATGGGCCTTCCTGGACACTCACTTGACTTCGCTTCAAAATCGACTTCAAGGAATTGTTGCACTTACATCCAAGATAGGGGCCACAGCGCCTATTGGCGCTGGTAATGGCCTTGCGTCAGTTCTTCAAGGTGGTACCTTTCTCACTCCAAACCCAGTTCGTACAGACCTTCAGAAGGCAGCCCGCGATCTTGCTCAAATAACAGCGATATCTCAGTTCTTCAAGTCAATTGTAAGCTTCAGGAATCATCCTCAACACAACTCATTTCTCAGTATCTCCATTGAATAAAATCATTAAGCTGAACTGACACTATCTTATGCAATGATCTTGAAATTCACAGGGGATGTTTGTGACTGTTTCTTGCGTAAGCTTTCCTCCTCCTCATCTGATACACCATTTTTCAGTGTCAACAGTAGGATCTAATGAACGTCGGATATATACTTACTCTTGGCATGTATGCTTTTTTGTGACTAGGACCCTTGCACCGACAAGGGACCAGATGGTGCATGGCCGGGAGATGATAGACTTTCTTATTGTACACCTCAAGGAGTGTAAGTCGAGTAATTGATTTTCCAAGGATGGCTGACTTCTAAAAAGATACATAGAAATGCGACATCCTGAACTTCTGCAATTCGGGTTTTTTTCTCCAGAATGATGAACATCATACAAGCTAATGGAAACGCCGTCGACAATGGAGTAAAGAATGCGAAGTTATTATCAACAAAGTATGGTTACTCGGTTCAAAAACTTGTTCAAAGTGCAGTACGATGTCAAACAAAGTATGGAATCGGAAATGAGATGTTGTAAGTCATCTTTAGAAAATCATCATCACGAATTTATATATCATTTATCAAGTTTTGGCTTTTCTTATTTTGATCAATCTAGAGCACCTCCTCCATCAAGTCCCGATTCTGAATGTGCATTTGCACTACCCGTATGTGTCTGTACTTTGGCAGGTAAGTAGAGAAATCTGCAAAAACTCTTGGATTTTTCATTCTGATGAATGATGATATCGATTTCCAAAATATCAATTACTGATGCAAACTTTTTATCCGAATGTCCTTTGCCAAACCATTTTCTATCTAGACGTTCAACATCTACGTCATCATGGTCATAGTACGGTGGTCGCCTGTCGAAATGGCGCTCATCTTCCAATTTGAAGACCCAATAGACGGTGAACACGAGTCAGAACCTAGCGGCCTCTGTTTGATTGTCATCTGGCATACCATACTTGTGTCAGTGATGTATTGATACGAGATGATTTGGACAATAAGATCTACATTCTAAACTTTGCATTGAAAAGATAATTAGCTGTTTGTAACATGCTTTGGGAATCTCATAACTCTATCAAATTCTTACCAAATTCTTACCAAATTTTTTTTTTTTCACTTTTCAGTCTCTACTTGTTTACTTTGATCAATTCAAATATATACCTTTCTGATTTTCTTTTTCAATCTTTAGTTCAAATATTTACGTGCTGATTAGCTTTGACTGAGCACCATGTTAAATAGATAATTCCTGTATCACTTTAAGGACATCTTGTATGCTTCCTTCCCTTTCGGAAGTACGTTTTCAGACCCAATGAAATTTTCAAAACGGAATATAACATACTTTAAGAAAACCATTCTCAATGAAGGTTATGACAAAATCAAAGGATAGTGATAATTAAAGCCGAGGTTCTCTTAATCTCTCTTGCCTGACTTTTGTCTCTTCGTCTCAATTCATCACCGACCTTGAAGGAATGAATGATCTCATCACTTGTGTTGTTACCGAAAAAAATCCTTAATAAAATTGTTCAAAAAGTGTCCATAGATTTAGGAAGCTTATGAACAATAATGAAAAATGTTTATTGGTGATTTCTCTAGTAACATGAACACAGTCAAGTCAATGAGATCATTCATTCCTTGACGGATATTGGTGACGAATTGTCACAAAGATACAAAAGTGATGTGAAGGAAATTCAGGGAAACTCGGTGACCAGCACCATCCTTGGATTGATCGTGATTCATGATGGAATCCCGCAAGATATTTGGATTCCATCAGTGACGAAAGGAGTTTTACAGACTATTTCAAACGTTGTAAGATGACACCAGCAGCGGCACCTTGATTTTGTCGTCTCATGTGATCAGAATAAGTTGCTTCTTGTGGTTTAGGGATGTCAGGATGAGATTGAATTCGACTAAATCAAGCTCAAGCATCCTACCATAGAGGGTGAGACACCATTGAGAATACTTTTTGTTGTTTAGTTGTTCGATGGTGGAATGCGTGGTTCCTGTGGTAGATTGAGATGACATGTTGATTTGAGATCGTGGTCTAGCACCTGGGCTAACAGCCAATTGCATTTCCTCACTGTTTGCTTCTGGGAAAACAGCGCGAGTGCAGCAATTAGGCCAGTCTGCAAGGTGAACTTCACTATGTATGGGCAACCACTCATGTCAAGTTTATTAAAGAGGTCGATGCTGCCTACACCCTGTAGACTCCTGGGTCCATATCATCTTTGGTTCGTGTGAAATATCATATCAAGCCTATTTTATAGACTGTCCGGTCTTTGATGCAAACTCATATCAGAGCTTTAGAGCTCCAACCAGGACGCATCATATCTCCTCAACTTGAAACCATATGCTATCTGTAGCGGTACATATCAATTGATTTGAAATCATTTGACCAGGGAAAGATCCAGATGAATATGCCATAGGTCGAGAAGAGTAAAGTCTTGAACTGAAACCCAACAACAACCTCAACGTATCCACAATATCAACATATTTCTTAAATGAATAGCTGCTTCATGAATCTGATGCTTATTGATAAAATTTGATTTCTTGACTAACACAACAGGTTTATAAAGAACATGATAGAAAAAGAGACAAACTGAATACATGTGAAGGCCCCCAAAACCAGCATAGCAAATCACATTGATCCACAATACAAGTATATAACCAAACCAGACTTGATCTGTAGATATCCTTCCCTTCTACTTTCAAAGTTTAAACCCAGTCAGTCTTTTATAAAAGAAAAACCAAACATTGATAAAAAGATGTTGGCCATAAATCATATCATGATAAATCAAATCCAGCACCTGAATTGATAGCATATACCAACTTTTCTTCTAATTGAGTTTCACTCTTATACTCTGGTAATTTCAATAAATTTACACATGTTGAAGCAGAAGGTAATCTACTTTCATCAACACCAGATGATCTAATCGCAAAAGCTGGTCTTAATTCTTTAAACCCAAGTAAAGGTGGCCTTGAACAAGATGTAACAAACTTCAATAGTTTTCGTTTTGTTGCATTATCAAATCGTTTGACGACGCGCCAAAACTGTTTTCCACGAACAATCGAACAGAAATTCGAAAGTTGATCACGTCAGCTTTCACCATCCAGTGATAACAAACAACAAGAGTCTAAAAGAAACGGACATACAATTCTGATAGTCTCATGTGATTCATTCCAACCTCCATAAACTGTACACCTTTCAAGGTCACCGAAATCAAGATCTTGACCATCCAAACCTCCAATCAATGCCTTGATTTCCACCTGATTAAACATCCTCAACCATTTCAATTCAACAATATCATTCAATCCTCTAAAAAATGCAGCACACTGAGCTTCGAATTGAATGTTCAGTTTATAATTTGAAATTAAGTAAATGTAATTGATTCGGTTTCGAGCTGTGACTGATATTTTGGATCCATTAGGGATCAATTCGATAGTTGTAGATTGATCGAATTCATTTGATGTAATGGTAAAGTTCAGTGATAGATCGGCTTCAACATCTCCTTTGTAGTTCTTCAGAAACAGTAAACCTTGATACAATTCCGGGTCGAGGGACGCGAGATCGTCTAGATAAGACTGTGTCCAATATAACAGAGAATCAATCATAAGTCTGGCAATCCCACAATGGGCTAGTTCAAAGACACTCAATGGACATTGAGCAAACGAGTGAAGAGATCATTAGAAACCTCCACGAACCTGTTTACCCAACCATTTGTTCAAAAAGAAATCCGCAAATTCCACGTCGATGAGAATTCCCTCATACAAAGCCTTTCCCAAAACCCGACCTAAAAACCCATACCATTCCAAACTAAGAGCTTCTTGACTAAAGGTATGTGGATTAGGATAAAGCTCTTGATTTTGATTCACAAGCCAAAGACCTTTATTTGTATCAAAGATATCTTTAGTAAGGCTTGTTAAGAATTCTTTAAATACACCACCTCCGTCAATCCCAGCTTCTTCAAGACCATACTGATCGATGAATTTGATTTCAATCGGATCCTTCAATCTTGGTCCTAATGCGTTGAGATGCAAGAACCCATCCTCTGAGATTCGATCTCTTCTGATTACTGCTCTGTGCTTAGGTTTCCCAAATGGATGTAGGTCGAGTCCTAATCGGTGTCGATCAGATTGAACAAAAGTACGAAAGATCGTCACCCGTTGTTCAAATGGAATCACAAACGGTATGTTGTTCAACACGCCTAGTCTTGGACTTATAAAGGCTAGTTGGCGTTTAGAAACCCTTTCTCTCTGACTTCTTCCCGGTGGAGAAGGTACATGATCTAAGAGATCAAGGTCAGGATCGACAAAATCGTAGGGGGTTGTTTGTTCGTGGGGTTCATTCCGGATCTCTTCTAGATGCGATTCCTCGTAAACTACTGTCTGAATGAAAGATTGCAAATCGAATGTGGAAGTCATCAACCAGAAACCTGGTTCACAGAAAGGTCTTCTAGAACTGTGAAGGCCACAAGTAATATCTATTAGTGCAGTTTTAACCGAGTACCCAAATGTTTTGCCAAAAAGGATTTAGGATACTCAACTCTCTGGTGTAGATCTGCTGCAGTAATCTGGTGGCAAGGTTCCTCAGCTGCTCCAAGCCAACTCTCGTCCCAATCACGTGTCCCTGCTTGATATCTGCTTGTCCCTCTGTCCAGTAAAGGCCAAAAGCTAAATTACGCAAGAGACCGGCCAATCCAATGACTTCTCCAAGTAAGAGAGGGTTTCTTCCTGTTGAGACCACATCATTGGTTTGCTGAGAATTAGAGATCGCGGGAATGGCGACTTTGGTTTCATCATTGAAAAACTCGTCATCTCCCAATGTCATCAAGCATCTAGAGTAAAGTTCACTGAGTACAATTAAATCTTCCCATTCGCCCGCCATCTTGGAATCATTCAATGCGGTCAGAACGCCTTGAGGGCTTCCACCTGACCTACGGTCACGAAGGGTTAATCCTACTTTACCACCTCGGATCGCCAATCTCCACAGCTCTCTCATCAGTCCGTTTACACCCCCACTAGCAGCAGAGACATTGGTGGATACCAATGTATTAAAAATCCGCTCTCTTGACATTGGCCACGCATAGAGAACTGTCACAATCATCCGACAAAAGGATCGACGACATGATGAGGAGAACTTGTTGGAGAGCGTGTAAAGTTTTGCGAAATGATCCGTTGAAACCAATGTGGAGACCCAACCGAGCGTCTTGAGATTGACTGAACGGATCCAAGAAAGGTCTTCAGTAGGAGTTCTCGAAGCCTCGGACACGCTGACGTCTTCATGGGCTTGATGTGAAACCTGAATAGCAGGTGTGGATTGGGAATTGGGAAGATAATCAAATGATGTTTCTGGGGCCGAGTGGTGTGTTTTAGTTGCCCGACTGTCGAGGTAAGCATCGACTCGTTCAAAGAATCCCGTTGGTGTGACCTCGACGCAAAGATTTATGACACGAAGATAGTTCCCAAATGCTACTGAGTCCATCTTGTCCAAAAGCTTTGAGCCCCAGGTTAGTACGTTGGATAATAAATGAACGCCTCGTTCGGTATTTTTGGTCATGGTCTGGGGAAAGACATGTAGTAAATCATTGAATGGCAGAGCACTTGAGAACTCGATCAAAGCTCTCAGTTCTAACCGATTAGGCAACGTGGGAATGGAGAAAATGTGGAGGAGAAAGCATTGGAGGTTGGATTGTAGGGTTTCGGGGGCAACTGTGGCGTCAGACTTGAGCTGAAGAGGTAACAATGATAGGGCAAGTGCAACTGGGACCGTCCGATTGCCTACTTTCTCGTTGAGATCCTGTGTGACCGGGCAGATTAGTTGGATAAGCCTATGCGTCAGTAATATGGACACGGTTCACCATAAAGATAAATCAAGGTCCGAGACAAACATACGAAAGCCAGAAGATGGGCTCTCAATCTACGCCAGTATTCATCTGGGCCCACTCTTCGCAATATACATAAGATATCGGAAGGACTCGATGTCCTCATGATTTCTTTGACAGCCTCCAGGAGTAGTATAGAGTGTTCTGATCGAGGATAATAAGCAATGAAGTTCAGAATTTCATCAATCATGATGGGCAAGATTGCATCTTTCCACGATTTTCCTAGCTGGCCGTTATCCATTGCGTATTTCCGGTAAGGCGGAGTAGGTTTGAAGAGGATTAATTCGTTAGTCCATTGGACCAGGCGTTCGTGATCGGAGTAATCAGAAGGTGTGAAGAAGACCAGGATCAATCTTGATAACGTCAAATGATATTCGGGTAAGGTAGATTGGTTAGATGAATTAGGGATGACTGAATTGATAAGGTGATCGAATTCTTTGCGGAGTTCAACCTTGGTCTGACATGCGATACGCCTGGATCGCCAAAATGCCTAAATGAGAATTCCAAGTCAAGATGATCAACGGGCTGATTTCTCCAGATTGCATCAAATGATGATTGATTACCTGAATGGCTGAGACAGCAGTTTGTTGTCGTTTAAGATGCTCCCTCAGTTGACGTTCTTCTTTAGCTTTCCTCATGATCTCAGTTGGGTTCATTGAGGAGGTATTAGGAGATTGACCGCCAAGATTGATCATTGGTCTTGATCTACTTGATCCCGTGAAGGAATACATCCTGTTGAGTTAATAAGTTGAGTCTTGTTGAGTGTTGATTTGAAGAAAGGAAATGATGAAAACAGGAGATGACGTTGAGAACAAAGTCAACTTGCTCATAACCAACTCCACTTCCATCAATCACCGCATATAATTACATACAACTCATGTGATTACACATGGGAATATCAGATCTAATGACATAATAAATCCCTTTTGTTTCCAAGAAACTTGGATGACCGATCCCTTTACTCAGCAGATGATGTGAAGTGAGTCACTTTCTGAACCTCACCCACACCAGTCTGACTGAATTCCACTAGCTCCCTGCCCCGGATGCAGTCTCGGCATTGTACCTCAAAAATTCTAACACACAGTGGTCACAAACATCATGAATGAATAAATCCTTCACTCCAGGTATCTCCTGGGCAGTCCAAATTGTAGATATGAAGGTGGTAAATTTGAAATAAGATGCACAACAACTGTTCTTGAAACTCCAGGTATAAAGAGAACTGCATTGTTCCCTGAATCCCTTGCAAGTCTCATTCATGGAAAGGATGGGATGACTGAGATCCTACTGCTTGCCAAGATGCTATCTCTGTTCATCTTCCAGATAGGAGGTGGGTACACAAATTCCAGGAGAGAAAAATTGTGAGCAAGTCTTGACGCATGTGGTGGAGCCCTTTGTTTTGCCCCAAAGTGTGTGGCACACTTAGCTGTCTGCATTGCACACCACCTGGTCCACAGGCTAGATTTTTTCCCTCTGAACATTGAAGTAAATATTTTACAGTCCAAACTGAAATGAAGAATGATCTTTGAGTTTGAAAGGTATTTTTTATCATCATTCTCCTTGTTCTCCTTGTATTTTCTAACCATCCATCTCACGCTGATCTGAATCCACCAAAACATTTCTAGTTCAATCATCTCTCAAGCTGATCACAAACCTGCAATCTCAGAAACATAATACATAACAAAGATCCTAAGACCAACAAGCCATCTCTCTGGCTTTTCCTACCCTTTCCCCATGGCTTGAGCTGACCTGTCAAACTATGACTTGTGGTCTGTAAACAACCCTCAAGAGCTCTAAAAGTTTGCTGTACATTTGGGGTATACCCTGCGTCTGTATCAATTTCTGTTGCATGGTTTCGTGCCACCCTTCCTGTCTATCCCCTCACTGTCATGTCCATTGAGCTCTGTTGAGTTCCAGCACCATTCCCAAGTTGAAATCTCAGTACACACTCTGGTACACCAAGCTTGAATTTATGGTGGAGAAAGGAGTTGAAAGAAGGGTGTGTACTTTGAAGCTCATGACCTCACAAAATGATATTTTTAAATAGGAAAGGTTGGACAAGAAATTTTCCAGGATGGTCTTTCATGGATGAATCAAGTGCAATTTAGACTTTTTGTCCTAAGCATTTGGATGTTTTGTCTTAGCCAAAACTGTTTTTGCACAAAAAGGAAAACAAATTTTGGCAATACATGTGGACATCGAAAAAGGATATGCAATCAATCTGAATGCAAAATTTCCGTTTCATTAGAGCTCATCTCAACCCTTGCCGTCCTTCATTTTCCGCAAGGCTGAATCATACCTCAATCTTCAGAATGTCAAGCCAGTCTGCTATCAAATCTGAAGTCAATGAACTTGCTTCCAAGTCTATCGATACTTCCAAACCAATCACGACGATCACTACACATCAACAATATCATTCATCAGGTCTAAATGAATCTGATTTATTAAACGATCCAATCGAACTCTTTCAACGTTGGTTTAAAGAAGCGCGAGACTCTAACTTAGTTTCAGAACCCGAATCAGTTTGTCTTTCGACTTCTACTCCCGACGGTCGAGTGTCAAGTCGATTTGTACTTCTTAAACGGATCGATAATCGAGGTTTTGTTTTCTTTACAAATTATGAAAGTCGTAAAGGTCAAGAAATGGAATCTAATCCTAGAGCTTCAATGGCTTTTTATTGGGGTCCACTTCATCAACAAATTCGTATCTGTGGTCAAACTTCTAAGATTTCGATTTCTGAAACTGCACAATACTTTAATACGCGACCGATCGGATCTAGGATTGGAGCTTGGGCTAGCCCCCAATCTAAGGTATTATCAACTCGCGATCAATTGATGAACATCGTTTCCGAGCGAGAGAAAATCTTTGGGGTTAAACCTGGAAGTGTTGATAGGGAAATCGCTACAGAAGATGATATTAAGGCGGAAGTCCCAGTACCATCACATTGGGGAGGGATTTTACTTGTTCCGGATGAAATTGAGTTTTGGGTTGGTCGACCAAATCGATTACATGATCGGTTTCGTTATGAACGTACCTTGTCCGAGGATGGAAATGTCTGCTCAGCATGGACGAAAAATCGTTTAGCACCATGATGCCAATATATCCCCACAGTGTGTGATAATTTCCTTGCACTTATTTACACATCACTTATCATTCAATATGTTTATTCCAGTATCTAATTCATTTTCTTTCAGAGAGTATTAAGATGAACTTCACAAAACATAGGCACCCACATGGTTAAGGTATCGACTAAAGTCAGCTGCAGATGTGTCTCGAGTTGGAACAAGGCGCTGTTAGCTGCTTAGAACATTGTGGTATAGATCGCCTCAAATCGGGTATTTAGGGACTTTGTATCTTGTGTTTCCTTCTCATTGATGAAATGTAAAGTTTTAGGTTTGTATGTAACTCATTAAGGCTTTTCAGACGCGCAACAGGGTCTGGTTGACTAATTACTCAAACTTATCTCGAAAAAGTATTTCAACAGCTGGTTTGTTGATACATGCTTCCAACAATGGCAGTGAAGAGACTGAGGACAGGCGGGCTACAGTGGCTGCACACAGCTCAGATACATATGATCATAGGTTGGGAAACGAGTCACCGCAGTCACTCAGGAAAAGATAGGGAAATCTGCTTAATGAGCTTGAAGTTCATAGTTCCATGGGAGAAGACAAACTCAAAGCTCGTCAGCGTGTGTTTAGGTATCCTGCTGAGAGAAGTAAAGCAAGTGAAAGGCAAAATAGGAAGACAGCTTTGATACAATTAGGACTTATAGGTGATGATTTACGGAGATCCCTTATCTAAACTTGTTGTATGCGTGTTCCAGTGTTTGATTGTTTACACTGGTGTTACATATATGAGGTTTTTGTCTTCTTGACCTTCTACTTTCCTTCATCGGATTCGAATACTCACATCTCATCCAAAATGATTTCTCCTCGATTCTCATCACTGCGGTGGCGGTCTTGACAAGGTAGCTTACGAGACTATCTCTGCAAGTTCATGACAATCTGACAGTGCAATCCATGGCAGCCAAGTTGGAAAACATCGCAACTCATGCACGTTCGCGTGCCTCGCTCACGATGGGTCATATTTTGGAAAGCGGCTTCCTAATCTTGACTTTTGATCTAATCCGAGGTAGAGAGTTCCAGAAACTTTGGCTCCCGACAAACCCTTGCGAGCCGCAGCGCATGAGCGCCCCTTGTCTTACCGTATTACGATTCAAGAAGCATCTATGGCGTGTTTTCACAAAAGTTAATCCTCACGACAAGTTTTCAAAATCTGAATGGCATGTGGATATCTATGTGTGCCACTGCTAGAAATAGATGCAGACGATGATAGGAGGCGGGTCATCGAGACAATCGCCTCGATCTCGTTCCGCAGCGTCGAGCGTCTGAAACACAGTTAGCTTGAGCTTCAGCACTTGGTGTGATAATATTAAAAGGGAAGCTTTATCAATGAACTCCTTGCCTGACCTCACTGAAACAATTGTTACCGATGCTGTCCACACAACATAACGAAGGAAAGCTTCTCCCAACTCGCCAATCGAAAGCCTCTGTGGATGAAACATTTACACTTGATTCACTCCCCGGCTGATCCTTTCGAGGGAACACGAGGAGATATAACATGATACATCTGAGGCTTAAGAGCCTGGTCGAGTCATGCTGAGTACAATGCTAGAAAGCTTTTCAACTTTTTTGTCATTTTTTTCCTCTTTCACATCCGTCTTTTGACTACTCGACATAGTACTCTTGCGACAACAACCCTTGAGACCACAGGTCTATTTGCAACCCAAAGATTTGCACAGATCGAATCACAACACAGTGAAGGCCACTTGCCTACCTGAATGAATTGACTCAACTTGAGATCAAAACATCATCATCTTGATCAAATAAAACAGCATCAAATCTTCATATCTTTCTTCATCCTTCCCCTTGTTATTTTCATCATCTTATTTTTGATCTGATCTTTATCACATACTTGTGGGAATGCCTTCACCAGGGCTTGCAATTCTTGTGATATGCCTAAGATTTTGGGGATTGGGTACGCAGTTTGCGCTAGTTGAGGCAGCTGGTGGTTCAGCAGATGGCCAGAATGGTGTGATTATTCCTACCCCAACGGGCTCTAACACAGCAGGAACCAATAATCAAAACAATCCCAGTGGCTATGGCACAACAGGATCCAATAACCAAAACAATCCCAGTGGCTATGGCACAACAGGATCCAATAACCAAAACAATCCCAGTGGCTATGGCACAACAGGAACTAATAATCAAAACAATCCCAGTGGCTATGGCACAACAGGATCCAATAACCAAAACAATCCCAGTGGCTATGGCACAACAGGATCCAATAACCAAAACAATCCCAGTGGCTATGGCACAACAAGATCCAATAACCAAAACAATCCCAGTGGCTATGGCACAACAGGATCCAATAACCAAAACAATCCCAGTGGCTATGGCACAACAGGATTCAATAACCAAAACAATCCCAGTGGCTATGGCACAACAGGATCCAATAACCAAAACAATCCCAGTGGCTATGGCACAACAGGATCTAATAATTCAAACAACCCCAGTGGTGCTTACGGTTCGGGAGTTTCCGCCATGTCGAATTCCAGCTTTCCAGGCACAGCCAATCAGAATAAGTGGGACTTGTCAATCGATCCTTGTGGTACATCGGGGGCCATGTCATTAACACCTGAGCTGTGGGCAAGTGAAAGGATTGACGAATACATGGAATACAAGAAAGAACTTAGAAATTTTACCATCCTTCAATACGCCACTTCTTTGGGGATGCCCAACTTTTACCCTGGTATTGGCTTCCCGGTACAGGCCGGTCAGATTTGTTACCCAGCAATTGGGAGGGATTACTTGATCATGTATGCGGTAGAGAAATGGAATACGTTCATGAACTCAATGTATATTGCAGTGGAGACCACGACACTGATGTTAATGGGTAAAGCTTCAATGTATTTTTGACGGGATATGGATCAAATTTCTCAGAATGTTTCATTGATACTGACATGTTCTTTGTGATTTATTCTTGTGATGCTGAATTGATTTCCAACTGCAGACGTATCGGCAGGAATTGTCGCTGATTTGTAAGAGAGCTGAAAAGCACATTCACTTTTCCTCCCTGGAATACCTGTCAAGTCAAGGGTTTGTGTTGATGTGTTTATCTTTGATTGGCATCAGTATCCCTCCAGGAATTGGATCCGAAAGTTCAATAATGGGATTCGCAATAGCGACCATTGTTGTTGGGATTGTAGGTCAGTCCATTTCGCCAGTCTTTCCTCGTTGTCACTCTTTGTACCATATGAATACGAGAAATCAGTTACCATTTACTGAATTTGTTTGTCTTTGGGCGTGGTCTAGGAATGTTTACTGGTCCGCTTGCTCCATATGTCTATCAGACGGGTGTTGGTGCAAAAATGGCTCAAGGTATCTCAGATTCTGCCAAGATGGCAGGTGCGATTGTGATGGAAACACAAGCACAAAGAAAAGCCTACGTTGCAGGTCGGGCAGCCGCACAAGCAGGTAACATGGCCAAAGTTGAAGCTGCCATGAAAGCTGGAGAAATCAACACACTCAGGAGAATGGTCTATAACGGACAAGACCTTGTCGCCAATAGTGAAAAGTTTCCCGACTTCATGATTTCGCCGGGGAAGATGGCCAAGATCAACAGGATGTTGGGATATGCCGATAACACACCGCGCCCAGTTATAAACAGAGGAGGAGCTGACGCTACAAAGACTTCTCAGACAGCTGGTTCTGGAAATGATGGGGTACAGGCTACCAAAAGCGCAGCTCAACCTGCTACACTTCCAGCATCAAACCCGACGGCAAGAATGAGAAGACGCAACAAGAGGTCATATGAAATGAAAACGGATCCCGGATTTGAAACAGAGCTCCAAAAGAGGAGTCATCGACACATGAAGAGGGGCATTCCTAATGTTTACACCTATGTAAGGGTGTCATGATCTATGTGGATCTCCGTATAGACTGGGCTAATGTGGCATTGGGCTTTTCTAATGATGCTAACCAACAGACTAGATGGAGTTTTCTTTGTACTCATCTAGCAAGGCTTAGAAATCAGATACAGGCATTTATTTCCATGAGTGCCGCAATTGCAGTTGAAGCACCATTTTGGAGTAAACAGGGGATTGCCCCACTGGTATATGGAGGTGCCTATCTGGTTCCCAATCCCTCGTACACCGAATTGGAGCAGCGTCACAAGGCACTTGGAATGATTGCAATAATATCTGAACTCTTTGTTTCTTTGGTATGCTTTCACCCAATCATCTCAACGTGAAATCCCCACTCATATATATTCAATCAATTTGTGGATGCAGGACTACATAGGTATCATAGGATTGGTTTGTCCCAAGTTATACTTGCTACCATTATCCATACACGTGTCTTACTGTACATTCTCAACAAACTTGCCGCGCAGACCCCTTGTGATGGCCCAGGTCCCACTCCAATCAATGGAGATCGCGGTCCACTAAGGGAATGTGACGACAAAGGAATGTAAGTATTCCAAAACAAAGGTACTATGGATTATAAGGATACTAAAGCATTTACCCCAAATTATTACACCACATTTTATCAAAAAGATCTTGGTCAATCGTCAAAATCCTACCAAAGGACAATTACGATGCTTGGGTTCATAAACCAAAGCTCCTACAAGAGAAATACCAATACGGAACCATGGATTTGGTCAAACGAGCATGGGATTGTCAGGTACAGTACGGAGTTTATGGGAACAACAGGTCAGTTTTTGAAATAAATGCAATAGGATTAATACAATTGCTAAAAGACTATATAAATCTTAATCCCAAATGAATCAACAGCGCACCGTAAGAAAACACTTCTATATTTTTCCTTTTAATTATTCTTGATAAAAGACTGATTAAACTTCTTCTTCTTATCTTTAGGACGGTGATTGACGCGAACTCACCTTGTGCTTTTCAATTGCCAACTTGTGATTTCACCAATCAAGGTCGGTTTTGAAAACTTCTTTTGGCAAAACAGATTCAATGGATTATGAAGCTAACATCGAGTGTATCAATTTGATAGATTTTAAGAATAAGTTCAACAAGGACCATCCATTGTCCGCCTGCCGAGATGTTTTCCAGCTTCCTATATGAGAAAAGAGTGTTTTGAAGAGCATCTGTGACTAAACCTGCCACTAGTCGGATGCCAGGATCTGGTGGGTCTTGAAAGGTAAACTTTTCACCTCATTGATCTTCTTCAGGAATTGCTCTGGATTAGTTTCAGAAATTTGATAGAGCATGAGCTATGCATGCATGCATGAATACCTTGGATGGTGCGATTGTTAACTTGTTTGAATTCTCTTGAAAAAGATATCATTATCACGTTGGACAATTTATTTCTTATCAACAGACATTACACCCCAATTCCTCCCTTTGTTTCATCCAAACATTTATCATACCACGATCTTTGACATGTATGTGAACCTAATGTGATTGTGCCAATTCTTTGGCGATATCCTCACAAGAGCGTATCAATTAATAAATCCAAGGCACGCAGACTCCACCTGTGTCCACCTGATGACTCGGACACTATCCGAAGAAGAAAGAAGCTGTATGTACGGAGAGTGTCCGAAACGCCCCTGTGTAGCCGAGTAACCGGAGAGCTGCAGCTCTCGTAGTTTTTTTTTTCTCTAAGTCCCATTTCATCATATACCCCCCTGCCCACTTCACCAGCTCACCATCACGTACCACTGCTTTGACTAAGTGCCTGGCCCACCACCTCACCACCTAAACAAAACCCACCACCTCACCGGCAACCTCACCACCTAAACAAAATTCACCATGTCTCGACAAACCTTACAACCTAAACCAAAACCCACCAGCTCTCGAAAAACCTCACCAACCTCACCACCTCAATAAACTAACCACACCACCTGTGGTATAAGACTTTGCCTTTGCTGCCGTCACTATCAATACATCCATGCTCAACACTTCACATCTTCAGACGATCCACTACCACCAATCACTCAATGATTGCTTCGGTCGAGTCCGCACATCAGGCATCAACTCACTCGCTTCTCTTTCTTTGCCTCTACGCAAACGCACGTACGTATGCTTTTCTTCCCTATTGATTCCTCTTGGTCAAGTCATGTACTTACTCAGCCTTACTTTCTGATCTCCAATGAAGGTACATCAAACTGTGTCTCTCAGCGATACCCAGAATGCTCAAATTTATCCTCAACTCCTTTTGAGTATTTTCTTTAAGCCTTCACAGAAGGTTCAGGCTGATAATCATAATCCGTATCTCCTTTGTGTCAGTGTCACATAGTTTGGGACTTTAGTTACCTGTTAATCACTTCCATCCTCAACTTCCGACACCAACTGACAGCAATTACCTCGTGATGACACATTCGATGATGCCAAACCCTTCACCAAAATCAACCTCCCAGTCTTGTCTCTTTCATATTCATAGTGTAATACGTATAATCTGCATATACTCATGAGATTTGATCAATGAACATATGTACACAAATCACCAGTCTATGACAATTTAAATACCAAATCACCTTCAAACATACAGACACAAAAGAATGACTTGTATTCAATGAAAGAACGAGCGAGAAGATGAGAATACCATATGATCAAATTGAATTGAAAACAATCTTTAAGCCATCAATAGTACAAAGTACAAAAATATGAACAAGCTCCAAACAAAGACACAGACAACAGTGATAAATGTCGTGAGAGGATGAGAATAGAACATAAACCTACCAGATGGAATCACATATTCTCCAAGTCGTCTTCCCCCATTTCAAAATTCTCGGAAGTGTACAAATCGTCTTCCTCTGCCTCGGCTTCGTTTTCTTTAACCATGTCGCGCTCTTCTCCCTCCACAATCGTCGCTAAAACTTGTTCCCAATGTCCGAATTGCGCTTCCATAAGTGATTTCCATCTAGTAATGAGGACCTGATCGTCTCTCAATCTCGACCCGCTGCTAAGGTACACTGCAGTCGACCTAATCAAAGTAACCAGGTCTGGATTCCAATGGAACCAAAGCCGGCGCATTTCCTTTGATAGTCCCAAGCGCAAAGATGCAGCCGTGTTAACATTTATTTCATCTATTCCAGTGATTTAGAGAGTGATCAGTTCCAGATCAAACAATGAATCAATATTAGACAGGGCTCACCTTCGCCAGCAGGAGTTTGTTGATCAATAGAGTCAATCTTTGACTGGTAATCTACCGCCCACTGTGTCAACTGTCGCACCTCACGCGCGATCCGACAAAGCTCCTCTCGTGAAGAGCGTAGGGACAAGTAAAGCTGGATACCTTCGCGCGTTGGCAGGTCGCTTGCCCATGGCTCACCTGGATGACTAAGAGTTGATCCACCAGACCAGAAAAGATCGGTAATCTCCATTTTTTCTACCTCAGCCAGGGAGGGGTCATCCAAGAGAGGTGTGGGTGCAAACTTTTCGTTGTAAGCCTTGACTCGTCGATGATAGGTGTTGAATTTTGCTTTCAATACTTTACTCATCTTTGACTTTATTTCGCCCATTCGTGCCTGGCTTGTGCTTCCTGTAGTTTGAATTTTAGTGTTATCTGTATTGTGTTGATTGAGAAGCGGACAGACTTACCAGAAGTCCGCTCAGCACGACGTCGAGCCTCAATGACACCCACCCTCGCCTCATAGAGCTTACTCTTAGCTACTTGGAGAGCCAGCAAGGGCTTTGCTCGATCATCTGAAAAGGATCAAGTATTAATAAAAGCCACTCATATACAGGCGATCAGATGGCGGTGTTACCTGTGAGGCCAGTGAGCTCCAAGAACTCCTGGGTTCCCAGCTCAGCCGCCGCATTGTGGATCTGGGTTTCCATGAGCACCAAAGACTGGGGAATATTGAGAAGTTCCTGCTTCTCCCGACCTGTCCGTGCCCGCTTCTTTTTCAGTTTCAACTTCCTGAGGTCCTCACTGAGAGAAAGGCAAAATATACATCAAATTTCAGTGTAGTTACAGAAGATGTCACATGCCTAGGGATCACTTACCGAGCCTCAATAAGCTTCTCCTCCATGTTGAGGAGATCAATCATACGCTCCTTTTTTTCCCTTGCCGTCCTGCTGATTACATCCATCTGAGTAGCCCTTTGTTGATCCCACTGGACACTTAGGTATTCTACAGTATGTCCATGCTCGGTCCTCAGCTGGTGCAATGCACTTTCAGCATTTGAGAGCCGAATTTGTGCTTTCTTCAAATGCGAGACCATGGACTGTACTTTGTTTGAAATGATACATTTCAATATTATATCTGTACAAAATAAACGCTAACTTACCTGCTTTAAAACGATTGCGATTATTCCAATGGAGAGCCCGGAGATTGATGCTTTCGAGCCGATGTTTGCTTGTAGCGTAGCGTAGAGGTGATATAAGGGGGGATAGAAACGACCAAATCCTTTCCAGTCCTTCGCCGTCCGAAAGGCCCCACCCAGTGTTTAATCGTGGATTATAAGCTAATTGACACAGCCACTCGTGTACATATGCGTGAAAGACGCTAGTACCAAATTTGAGCCGGCCTTCACCTCTTGCTTTAGCAAATTGTTTGCGCTTGGTTATGCAAATAAACAATAAGAGACAACACGAGCACAAAAGTACGACCAAGGTCTGAGCAGACATACCTTGAGGATTCCCTTTTCAATATTACACCCTATATCGTAGAGCAAACCAACTTTATTCGCACCCAATCCTCGGTTATCAGTCACCTCCAACAACCATTCCACCAACGCAAGAGCAAAACAACTCCTACAGAAAGCAAAATTGATCAGTTTACCTTTGAATGCACTTTGCAAAAAGACCATCGGGGTACTTTTCACCACTTTGTTTTATGTTTGCAAATTTTAAAACATGATCGTGGCGACACGCCATGCCGAGCAAGCCCGTATCATCATTTCCGCTCCAATGATTTTTGTCCCGCACATCATCAGCTGCGGTGTGTCGCGCTGTACAAGGATCCTACCAGGGATAAAAGAGATCAGAAAAAATTAGGATTCTGGAACGTGGAATTGAGTTCTGGATATCAGGCCTGGGGATGTACCACATATTCATGGTCTTTTTTGATTTAGGACCAGTCTTCTGTATGAGTTCAGCCATCGATTCGACCTTTTCTGGTTTGATGAAGAGTTCCGGCGTTTCGGGATTGAGTCCAGGGATAGGTACACTCGCAGCAAGATGCCTTCTATGCTGAAAATTGCCATCGCAGCAGCATATGAAGTCGGGCTCGAATGCTTCTGTTTTGGCATCAGGAGCAGGTGGTCCAAAGCACCGTGGACAGTTGGCCGCGAGTTTGTCTAACTCATTGAGTTTCAGTAGAGTAAGCTCCCGTTTGCGAACAGCCGTTATCAGCCTTCGATATGCATCTGCTGCTGCACTCAGGGGTTTTCTCCACTCCCGAGCCTTGGTCAAGAAAGTGTACAGCAGTTAGATGATAGATCATAAATATCCATACCTCAGATGAATTGGTCCACTCACCCGATTGGTTCTTTTGGAGGTAATCACTGGGCAAAACCCGTCTAGCCACTCATCTAGAGCCAGGGCAAACGGCTCAGTCCGGACACAGCAGTACTTCCAGAGGATATGATGTATGCGAAGCATACCCAAACTGAATGCTGTCCTAGGGTGTACAGGCGAAGCTCCCATATAACCCATTTGGATTAATCTACCTTGGTCACTTTGACAGGCACAAAAATTGATGGCTCGCTGGGTTTGGGCTGTTCTCATTACGACAGTCATCATCTACTTGAAGTTGAGAGCTGAAGGCAATGACATTGATTAACTCACATGAAACATCAAGCAAGTCCACTAATCGTATACTACGGTCCTTCCCTCGGCATTCACATGGAGGCTTAGCATCACGCAGAGCTTCACTTGGATTGCACCAGTTCGAGGTACGATCTCGGCAGGCCAAAAATATTGGGAGGTTCAGCTGGTACTGTCGTATCCAGCGTTTTTCTTGTTCCAGCCTTCGAGCCTGAGCATACGAACTGTTGAGCAACGTGACTAGGGGATCTTCCTCTTCGACTACCATGTCGTCGCCATGGATCGGCTCGTCTATGTCCATCCAGCCGCCTGAGTCCTCTTGCGTCGGTGGGCCGAAGTTATCATTGTGAGTATCATCCAGTGTTAAGTCATTGTCTCCGGTATTTTTGTTGCGAGGAGCAAAAGTTCCGTCGGACAAAGATGATTGTCCAAGCAAGCTTTGGAGTCGACACTTAGTTTCTTTTAGTTCTGTCTTTCTGCGGTCGTGTACAAGCCTTTGAAGGTCAGTTGCGTTTTTAGGAAGTTTGCCAACACCCTTGAAAGAGGGGGCTTTTCGTTTTCCGGCCATGATCGAAGATCAAAGGATATGTGAAAGTATTGAAAGACCGTTTTGTCCACTAACTGTTTGGATTCACTGTTTTGATTGATCAGCCTCCACAATATTTCATAAAAAATTTGCCATTCCTGTCTGATCTCAGCCTAAAGCAAGCTATGTCCCCTGTCATTCTTCCCAATTAGGATACATCAATACAGAGGATGTTTCTGAAAAGATCTTCGCCTCTCCCATTCTGTCGGGTCCAATTGATTACATAGGAAACTGTGTTCCTCATCTGATACCTGATATCTTACCTGAATGAATGATATAACTCGGTGATTTTCTTATCCTGAATCAAGCCATTTAACTGGTACTACCGCTTAACTTTGAGGTACAGGTGAGGATGAAAACTTGCGGACAAATGTCCTTAACCTTTTCAAGGGTCCTGATCCGGTTTTGTGATCAAGCCATTTAACTGGTACTACCGCTTAACTTTGAGGTAAAGGTGAAGATGAAAACTTGTGGACAAATGTCCTTAACCTTTTCAAGGGTCCTGATCCTTTTTTGTGATCAACAATGGTCTTTGTTTTGTATAGCCTGTGTTCACAAACACAATGTCTCAGACAATCTGTACAGTCAAACCTGTGCAAATGCATACCTGTGCAGATGCATAATTGGCCATTTTGCATAAGGCTTGGGTTCCACCAAGCTGGTGTGGGCCAAAATTCAGATTAATGCATAATATAATACTGAATAGCCTTTTGGCAGAAAAATCCATATGTTGGTGGTCATAATGCATAAAGCCCCGGGGCCGGCCCCGGGGCTTCCTGCGATCTGGAAGACAAAAATTTGTCAAATGAGCAAGCTGTACATTTGTACATCTCATAGAACTTCCTGAACTCGATTTTTAAGGATCATTGTACACATCTACAATACACGCCGCACTTGTTGCCTCCTTTGAAAGACCCAATACATACAGATAACTTTTTTGGTTTTGTTGAGCATGGTCATAATGCATATTTTTGTGCACTATGACCATAATGCATAAAGTTATGCATTGACAGAAAACCTGTGCAAATGAATGAACGGTCAAATTGCATAGAAAAACTCGTCCACCCAAATTATGCATTTGCACAGGTTTGACTGTACCTTGTTTACCTACAGCCGTTCCCGAAAAGGTTGCTTTTTTGAATTTTTTTTTTGGGGCGGTTAGGGCTGTTAAGATCAGATAGGGTCAGATTTTACTCAGCTTTTGTATCAGACACCACCAGATTGGAGATCCACCTGTAATCTTGTACGTCATCCCAGCCATCCCACTCCACCACCCTCTTGTGTTCTTTTTTCTCTCGATCATTAATCCAACCTCGCCTTCTTTAGGCAATAAGTTTCTTCCAAATGGGTCAAAACAAAGATGACGACGAGATCGAGATCGAGAATCCTAGACAAGGGCGATTGGCTGGTCAACATGCAGCCCTTCGCCAACAAATCCGTAATGATCCATCCCATTGCAATATGGATCAACGTCTTAATCCAACAGCAACACACTTGATGGCAGCAAATCAAGCAAGAAGCACGTCAATTTTCTTCTTCACCCTTGTCATATTTAGACTTTGTTCTAGCTGACCATGATAAATTTTCATTCCGCCATCCAGATGCGACTCACTCGATCTACGAGGCGCGCGAAATCCGCCGTGAGAGCTTCATGCAGGCAGCAGCACAAGGCCGTGAAAACTTTGAGGATTGTGAGCCAATCCATTTCAAACTGTGTCTTTTTGTTGTATGAATACTGACCTTTTTTAACAGCTCATCGTGATCCTATGCTGGACCATCATCGCAGCACTGGAAACTTCAGTAGTGCATTGGCCGACCCTCGACAATGCGGAGCTCAAGCTCAATCCAAATATCACCCTGAGTGTGGCATCCTTCAATCCGGTTCAGGATCTATGACCAACGATACACCAGTCTGGGATTTCAACCCACCCAATCGATCTCAACCCCGTAATCCTCATATCATACCGAGTCAGACTTCAAATGAGCTGCCGATCAAGATGTCAACACTTCGAGTCTTTCATGAGGCCTATCTACATGGCCCAAAGGATAAACCGAGCGCATCAACTAGCAGAGCTCCGTCAAAACAAACCCCTGAAAAACTCGGATGGAACTGTGACAAAACTAAAAAGGAAGATACTGGACCCGAGCATTACATCACTGTTGATTTGAATCATTCATCTCCTCAGAAAGTCATAGAATTGATAGTTACATCCCTTGACCGAGTACTACCCAAGCTTGGTACTTATCTTTTCAATGTATCTGAACCCCAGTCCGTCTCTTGGCTCGGTATCACTCTTACTCCAAAATCTTACATCCGCGAGCAAAAGTACAACCTTCACAATAACACAGAATGGAATGATTTCAAGAAACTATGTATCGATTCCCAACCAAACTCCGTCGGACTTCTAGCTCAGATGGCCAATCCCGAACTCCAGGTTGCTGTAGAACATAGGAGAGAGAAAGTCAGCGGCTATATAGGCTCATGGAATACTCAACAAGCGATTGCTCAAAACCAGCCTGGTGGTTTGGCAAATTCACCGCCAACTAACCCTGAACACTTACCTTCGCGTGTTACTGCTGAATTAAAAGAGATTCTAACTAAAAACGGCACTGAACAATGTCTACTCAGACATCCTACAGACTCCAAGAAATGGACAGTTATGACGCCTCGCAAGATCAAAATCTGGGTCGATGAGATTGTAAGTTGATTTTTTTGATATCATTTACTGTAATTTTGCTCACAAGACTCCACCATATTCAGATAGCAGCACGTAAAGAAGGTCGTAACAATATCACTGTAGACATTCCACCTCCCTTACCGTGCTTCAAGACATTCATCGGTGGAAGACTTCCTCCAGGCTATCGAGAGTTTCCAAACGATCCCCCACCAGCTGGATTCATGGCTGCTGCTCCAGCACCTATAGTACAAAACGAAGTCACTCTGATCGCCCCAGCTCAAGTAATTGATGACCGTATCTATCAAAGAAAGTACTCTGGAACCTTTGAAGAATTTTTAGATTATGCTGATTTTCCTGAAAGCGATACCAGCTTGAGGGCAAACTTAAATACAGGGCATTACACTCGTTGGAGCGATCTCAAGCCAGGTCCTGATATGAACATTGCTGAATTAAAGCTTATCGGAATCCCTCCAGGCAATGCAAGTCATCTCCTTTCTAGTGCAGTTAGGTACAAGAAGTTTTTGATGGAAAAGCTTGCTGCACTGGATGCGCAACAGCTTTGATTCATCAGTGCAATCTGCTTCCATTTCTCTCAGTTTTTATTTTATCTTTTATTTAGAACGGCTTTAATCTATTGCATTCCTCCTGTCTACAATGTTCTGCTTTGATAGCTCGATTTTTTGTTCGTTCTTTGTTTGGGTTTCTTCTGCTTTGATAGCTTGTCTTTTTGTTTGTTCTTTGTTTGGGTTTCTTCTCCTTTGATAGCTCGTTTTTTTCTTTGTTCTTTATTTTGTTTTCTTCTGCTTTGATAGCTTGTTCTTTTGTTCGTTCTTTATTTTGTTTTTCTTCTGCTTTGATAGCTTGTTCTTTTGTTCGTTCTTTATTTTGTTTTTCTTCAATCTCTCATTAGTATTTGCTTTTGATCTTATTAGCGTCTGGCTCATTTTCTTTGTAATCAAAAGTACCAATAAAAAAGTTTTTGCTTGGCTTCCAATAACCAAAGCAGTGAGATTGAGCCAACACCACGCATACATAAAGGCCATGAAAGACATTCGAATGAACATTTCAATTTGTATTATTTATATCAGAATGTCAACCTCAATAAATTCGCTTAGATATGTCAATCAGAAAAAGCAACTTTAATGATTGGCAAATAGAAACCTAATGGTGCTCTTAAGAAGACTGAAGGAGCATTGCAAATTGTATTAGAGCAAATAAATGACAACATCGTGTCTTTTCACATACAAAGTCACCAAACAACATCCAGTACAACTGCCATCATACTAAAATTCAAAGAAAATACACTGCTCTGACTAATTGAAGTTCACCAAAAGATCTTGATTGATATAATCATGATTTAGATTTGAACTATGAGGTAATTTACAATGAAGGGGTACATTTTGATTCATTCATTTGAAATAAATTTCCGAGGATAAGTCTTGAGAGACTGGTCAAGAGTGTGGTACGGAATGCGAGACGTTCCAAAGTGACAATGCGAAATTTCAAAAATCAAAAATCACAATTCCCGGGTGCGAAATTCAAAAATCAAAGACAAAACTACAGAAAATACTCAAATACAGGGATAAAACCCCTGTACTGGAGTAAAAATCAAGGCAGAAACCCCTTTTTGCCCAAATTTCCAGTGGTCAACACCATTTTCATTGCATTGTCACCTTTTGACAAAAAGTACCAGCAACACCAAAAACCAAAAAATCAAAAAACCAAAAATCAAAAATCAAAATCAAAAACCATAAAATACATTTCTGAAACTGTAACATTCAAACAACAATGTTAGATTCTACCACAGCCAAAAACCGCATGTTGGCCAGCCAGCTACAAGCTCAGTCTCACAGGTATCAACACCTCCGACCGGAGACATTCTACCTTCTGTATCAAGAGCTTCAAAGTACCTTCCTGTCTTGCTCTCCTCCAAAACCTCTTTCATCATCATCAATCTTCTTTGATTGTCCTTGATCTTCTTCAATCTTTGTCAACTGTCCTTGATCTTCTTCAATCTTGGTCAACTGTCCTTGATCTTCTTCTTTCTTCTTCGATTGTCCTCAATCTTCTTCAATCTTCTTAGATTTTCCTTGATATTCTTTAATCTTTGTCATCCGTCCTTGATCTGCTTCGTTCTTTGTCAACTGTCCTCGATCTTCTTCTTTCTTCATCAACCGTCCTCAATCTTCTTTTTTCATAGTTTCCACTCATCAAACTGGACCAACTAAAGACAGGATTTTAATCTTCTAAAATCTTCTCCAAACCTTTTTGAATGTTTTCAATGGTCTTCGATTGTCTTCAACCTTCATCAATTGTCTTCAACCTTCATCGATTGTCCTCAATCTTTGTCAATTGTCCTCAATCTTTGTCGATTGTCATCAATCTTCATCAACCATCGTCAATCATTGTCAATCTTCATCACTATTCTTTGATCATCCTCAATCTTCTTCACTATTCTTCAAGTGTCCTCAATCTTAATTAATACTAGCCAATTGGGCGGCAGGCACCGCCATGTCAAGCTCTGAAAACAAAGTTGCTTTTAGCTGTTTCCAATCCAATCCAAGCTGACTGATGTGAGCAATAATGCATGATCCTTCAAAGCCAAGCATACCAACATCAGGGGTTTCATATTCCCAAAAGCCGTAGCACACTATTGAGCATGATCATGTCAATTTTGTCATTTGAAACATACTATTGAGCCTATGTGGTTTGAAGCCTTTGATCATCATAAATTTTATATGGCAAAAATCAATTATCCCAAAAAAGCAACACATTATCCCAATTAGGACAGTGTTTAATCCTGGCAGTGAGAATTTGTTGAAGGTTTCCTACCTTTGACAATTGTAATTAGGTTGATATGGTGATGATGATAATATCACACCAATCAAAGCAGTGTTTATTTGAGATCAAACCAAGTAATGAACAATATCCTTTCTCCTG